GATTCACATCACAAGCCCATGACAATGACATCACCACAGAATCTTGAAGATTCTGTGACAGACGAAACTTCAACTTGTGTCCTCCGGCATTGCATACGCACCCCGAAAGCAGAGTACTTCTAAGTAAGAGAGCAAAAGGCGACTTACCCAAGAAGCTCGACAGAGTTTTGTATATTGTGCTCGCAATTGTCCACACTTTGAAGGGATCCCTCGTGCCAAGCCACCACCCTTAGCATCTAACTGCCCAGCTTGACCAAGGCAAGCATAGAAGGCATCCCGGGCCTGCAAGTGAACGGGCAATCTCAATAGCATGTCACTTTTGAGAACGATGATGTTAGCATCTTAGCAGTGAATCTCGCTAGAGTCCCTAACAAAAGCAAAGCTTGGCTATGTGGGCAAATGGTACCAAAGAAAAGGCACAGCGCATCTTGAGGCTTGCATTCATAGAGGAAGAGTGTGACCCAAGCCTCTCATTAAATTGCCTCAAACCACTTAATGTCCCAGTCAATTTGCCAGTCCAAGTGCTAGAACCGATGTGAAAAGATGGACCAAGCACATTCTGTTTCTTGTCTCCCACAAATTTCATGCGCCAATGAGTTGGAGCAGAGAAGGGGCGCCCTGAAATGTGCGCACCCAACAGGAATAGGATACTGCACGTGTCTGACATGGAGCGGCACCCAGGTCTCATTTGTATTCTGGGCACCGATTGTGCGGTAGTGCAACTTGTCATCACACTGATGACAACCAAATCGATGCAGGCATATCACTGCATCACTTTGGGACGGCGTTCAGGTGGCGCAACTGTTAAGAGAATACTGTGTGATAGTTATTCACCGAACCTCAGCTTGATTAGCAGGTTACCTCATAACATCGTTCGCGGCCTTCCTTCAGAACGTCCTCAGTAACAGCCGGAGAAGCTGATTCGCCTTGATTAGCAACCTGCGGGTCCGCAGAAGTGCCTTCTGCAGTGCTTGAGTGCCAGCCCCACCCCATGCGCTGTCAGACTTGCTGACCCAGGCTTGATCTCAGAATGCAGAGTCCGTGCTAGACTGCTGAAGTCAACTGAAGCGTCTGTCTGCCAAATCAGAGTATTTGGATGCCCAAGCAAAGGAAGAAAGAATCAGGACGTATTTCACACTTCCAATCGATGCAGAAAACGAATTTGACCGTCTCTCCACTTCAGCTTTTAACAGCTTCAAGGCTGCACTGGAGCTCAGCTAGCTGCTCAAGAGTTTGTTTTGGGCTGCCGCCAGCTGCCGCTGCGCTCTCTTGCAGACGTCGCAGACGCTGATGTCAGTGATGAAGATCGAGGTGATATCTTAGCAAAGCCTCCGCAGGCACAAGAGATCAACCAGGAATTCCAGTGACAAGGCCTCTTCTCCACTTCGAAGCAATCGACGCCGTTGTTTCTATTGGCGGTTGTAGCCCTTGTAAAGAATCGAAATCGACATCCCATGTTTTGGCGCGAAAGGACAATCTTCCAACTTGAAATTCCGAGCCTGCCTCTATGACAACCCCTCATGACAACCACCAATCGAGTCCCGCAAGCTTGTATTTGAACACGAGCAGGTCTTCGAATGTAGAAAGGCGCAACCCTGCTGACGTTTTGCGTGGACGTCAGCCGCCGCCATCTTTGATTCGGACTGTGTCTTTTGATTCTGGCAGCAAATAAAGATTGCCTGCTTGCGCATTTTGTATCACTAAGATAGGAGCTATGGCAAAAGAGGAGGACGATTACCCAGACGAGGGCGAGGAGCGCCTTTTGAATGAAGAGTACAAGATCTGGAAGAAGAACACGCCGTTTCTCTACGACCTGGTAGTCACGCACGCCCTGGAGTGGCCGAGTCTTACAGTGCAATGGCTGCCGGACAGGTCCGAACCGGCGGGGAAAGATTACTCTGTTCAAAAGCTGATCTTGGGGACGCACACGTCAGACAATGAGCAGAATTACCTGATGATTGCGGAGGTGCAGCTGCCGTTGGAGGACACGGAGACGGATGCGCGGCAGTACGACGACGAGCGGGGCGAGTTTGGGGGTTACGCTGGGGTGATGGGGAAGGTCAGCCTAGGATTGAGTTCGTGCTTTCTTCTCGTTGAGTGTGAGCATCACGTTTTAGGAACGTTGATCACTGACTGAAAGGTTTTCGCTTCATGCTGCTCTTCCAAAAGACTGACAGATGGTGGTGCTAGGCCCTCGGCGAGCATGAGAAAGTCCGATTGGGTCTTTCAGCGTAAATGGAGTTTGATCAGCAAAGCACTAATCTGCATTGCTGGCCAAAGTCTTTGTGCTCTGAGTATGTCTTCTCATTATATTCTAGACTCACCATTACCAAGAATTGTGGTTGAGCTGATGTAATATTCAGCTCAACCTGGAAAGTGCTGGAGTTTAATTGGAAACAGATTTACCACCAGGGTGCCATCATCTCTGCCGGCAGCAACAACTCAGCACTTCAACAACTTGATCTTTTCTTTTGATCGGAAGAAAGCCGATTCGAGGCCCAATCTTGAGTGCTTGGAAAAAAGCCTACTTTGTGGCCCCAATCTTGAGTGGTTGGTAGTTGCCCGTCTTAGAAGGCCGTCGATCGAGAAGACTGCCTGTGTTTGAGTGGAATTTTCAGGGTTTGCTTGGAAAATGAAGCTCTCATCAGAATGCTCCAGTAACATTTGTGTTTGATCTTCCACAAGCAAGTCAAATCTGAAGGCGACTTGCAGCAACGAACCTACATTCTGTCTTGAGGACCCGCATGAGCATCAGCCAGACTTCAATCGGTGGCATTTTGGTGGCAATTGTGTCACTCATGCATTCTGGCATTGGGTACTTACGGGCACAAACTGTCAGGTTCAGAATTTCTCAAAGAAGACACAACTTGTGTGCACGCCAATTGCTTGCCTACGATCGCCAGAAGCAAGCATGCTCGTGCCCCTATGCTATATGAAGCTGCTTCAAACACGTTTGAACGATCAGTTCCCTCTTCCGCTTTCCGCGCAGGTTAACATACTGCAGTCCATCAACCACGACGGCGAGGTAAACCGAGCGCGGTACATGCCGCAAAACCCCTTCCTAATTGCAACAAAGACCGTCAGCGCAGAGGTCTACGTCTTTGACTACAGCAAGCACCCGTCCAAGCCCCCCCAGGAGGGAACGTGCAGTCCGGACCTGAGGTTACGGGGGCATAAAACAGAGGTGCGTTGACCGGACCAGTCGACCTTAGTGCAACGGGTCTAAAGAATAATGGGCACCTGTCCCTTTCAAGAGGCAGGTTATCTGAGATTGGGGCCAATTGGATCATTCTCTCAACCTTAAGCCCCAATGAACACCAATTATGGCCCCCTAAGAAGGACACCTGCGGCAGGTACCTTCGTTGATGGGGCATGAAACAGAGGTCGGCTAGTCAAACCGGTTTCAAGAAGGAAACCTGGGTTCGAAACACTAGTGAAACCACCAAGAGAAAGACCACCGAGCCTGCTCAAAAAGAAGGCAGAAAAGGGAGATGCACTTTGTCAATTCCTAGGCGCTTAGGTCGGGAAGCGCTTAGGGTGGGAAAGTACTTTCAATGGACAGTTAGTTAAGTGGCTGATTGAGGGGCATCCAATATGCTGTCTGGACCTTGGTTGAGAGGCTTCAAACAAAGCTGAGTCAGGGAGGGGGACTATGTAACTGCAAGCAAAAGTGCAGGACGCTTGCCAACTTCAAGCGGAGAGATGGATATAGTAATGACTAATCTTGACGTTATGAGCGGTGGAACGAAATCACCCCAGTCCGGTTCGGTGTGCTAAGAGTGCCTTGCGTTCGTCACAGTCGACTAAGTATTCGCTGATCGTGTCTGCAGGGCTACGGCCTATCCTGGAGTCCGTTCCGGGAGGGCCATTTGCTGTCCGGTTCGGACGATGCCCAGATCTGTCTCTGGGACATCTCTGGGCTGGCAAAGGGCACCAAGACGGTGGATGCAAAGCAGATCTATACGGTGAGCTGCTTGCTTCAGGATTCTGAGTATTGTAGTCCAACGTTATAATCCTGAATAATTCTGTTTCGTTTTGTTCTCCAACAATACGCTGTCGAAGGTCACTTATTTAAGATGACTCCGAACGGATGCTGGATCCCCTATGTTCTCACTTAGAAGGGGTTTTTGAGGTTGATTCTAGCAGCTCTCTGTTTTCAATGGCCTTTCTGAATCATTCTACCCGTTCTGAGTCTGGACTTTTCGAATGCAGAATCCGACTTCCTGACTGTCCGATTGCAGATTACCTACTCGGAGTCGATCCTTTGTGCACTACTGAATCATACAATCTTAGATCCAGGGTGTTGAGTTAAGCACTTGCAGGGCTCATGTGCTCAATGAGGTGATGTGTACTCGAGGCCCAATCATCTGATTGAGATAAGACTTGGCAATCCCGTCCTCAGAAGTATTCTTGCTTGCGAAAGCGGAGGGTCGAGTTCAATTTTGTTCTGTAAGGTCCACAAAAAGACCGACAAGGTCAGGCAGCCGCACGGAAGCACAAACGCCTATATGCTTACATGCTTGACGTCGGACTTGAGTGCCACAGATACAACCAGCCCGATCGAAGTCCACCAAACCATCAGACCAGGTTTGAAGAATTAGTCAAGCTCAGTGTTGCAGGCCCGCTACGATTTGATAGAGACTCGGCGTCAGTTGAAGTACGAGCTACGGCAAACCCGTTTGCTCAAGCACAGAAGCAGGCTGGAGAAGCGGGTTAAATCTGACCTCAGGGGCCCACTAGGAGATCGGGTTTGTAGTCAAAGCTCGAACCTGACCAAACCCGCTTCCAAACCGCCGAAGCAGAGGTTAACGAGCGGGTTAACTTGTAATTGCAGGCCCACGAGGGGGTTGTGGAGGACGTGGCATGGCACTCGAAGCACGAGTACCTGTTTGGATCGGTGGGCGACGATAAGAAGCTGCTCCTGTGGGATACCCGGCAGCCGGCGGTCGACAAACCGCTCCACTCTATAGAATCCCATGAAGCAGAGGTAAGACATCAAATACTTCTTCTTGCCCCTTTTCGGGGCGGGTTAAGTTCTGTAATTGCTTTTTGAGATGATCTTGAGATCGATAAGAAGCTGCTCCTATGGGTACCCGGCAGCCGGCAGTCGACAAACCGCTCCACTCTACAGAGTCGCACAGAGCAGAGGTAATTTGAAACAAATTCTTTCCCCCGTTTTTGAGGTGGAGTAGTCCCGGAGTTGGTCTATATGAAATCTCGGACCGATAAAAGGCTGTTCCTCGGCAAAACTGGCTGCCGGCGGTCGACAAACCGCTGCACTTTTCGAAATGCACGCAGAGAGGTGAGAAAGTGAGTTCTCCCCCTGCTTCTTTTCCCTGCTTTGTGGGTTCCATCCGTAGTTCGTATTCGTTAGTCTGAACGAAGAGAAGCTGCTCCTGTGAAGTACTGGGCAGCCGGCACTGAACCGCTCTACTCTGTAAAAACGCACGAAGCTGCGGTGAGAACGGAGTTTGTGCAGAAAGGAGTATCTCAGGTTTGTCAGTAGCGCGGCAGAAAGTTGTCTGCGTGGGTTCGAGAATGATGAGAAATCTTATATCTTGGAGTACCCGGCAACCGGCGATGGACAAACCGCTGCCCTCCAGAGAATCCGTGCAATCGCATGAAGCAGAGGTGCGAGAAATCCCTCCTCCGATTTTTGTCGATCCGCCTCGGAGTCGTTGCGTGTGTTCAAACCCCGTAACCTACATTATCCCTGATTCCAGTCCAAACCCATTCCGCAGGTGAATTGCGTGGCCTTCAGCCCGTACAAGGAGTTTCTGCTGGTCACGGGGTCTGCGGACAAGACCGTCGTCCTGCACGACATGCGGACGCCCGGCCGGGTCCTGCACCAGTTCTCCAACCACACGTACGCACGCAGACCCAGCGTCTCTTTCTGGTCCCAAACTTTCCAACCTTAGTGCAGACTTTTTGTCCTGCGTATTTCAGCACTTTTCAGCGCAGATCTATATTGCTCCCGGTCTCAGTATTTTTGCAACCTCAGCGCAAACTTACCTCGCACCTCATCTTGCTTCCCCTAGTGCAGATCTACCTCGCTCTTTGTCTCGGTGCTTTCGCAAACTTCGACCCAAACTGTTTCGCTGATTATCCCCGTGCTATTTCGACTTCGGCGCAGACTAATCTCTCGCTTTGTCCCAGTACTTTTGGAACTTCAACGACTGCAGAGCGGATTGAGTACCTTGGACTCTTCCCCCTTGTTTTTAGCCTTACAGCTTTGTTTGATCATGTCACCTTACCCAGTTTGATCGTAATCCTGATTCGTGATCTTGGTAACGATCTGATGGTCGAATAAAGTGGGTTCTTACACTAACCCACTCCGGGCCCCGAGCACAACATGACATGCTTCACACGTACCCCCCTCCTAACACCCTCATATGACTACCACCCGTCCCTGTTGAAGTATGACTATCACATTTTGTGACTATAAAATACTACGAGCTGACTATGTTGAATGTTGTTCTTTTGCAGAGAGGAGGTGTTCCAAGTTGGCTGGAATCCAAAGAACGAGACCATCCTGGCGTCGTGCGGAGCGGACCGGCGGCTCATGATCTGGGACCTCAGCAAGTGGGTCGGCTAGCTTAATCCAATTTGGATCCCGATTAGCTGGCTCGCCTGTTCCTCGACTGGACTGCCTTGTTTCTGCCTTTGCCGCTACTCTTTCCCGTCTTTCTCGACCCTTACATCACCGGAACCCAGCTTGCTTTGGTTCCTCACGATTCTTATCGAGTCTACTTCAACCCCTCGTTGTCTGAAAGCTGACTTGGCAGGCCTGTTTCAGTCGTGACGTCATCAGAGTGCGTTCTTATGTCCGCGACTCGGCCTCTGGCAGGTGGATATCGTTGACCCGACCCAAATCAGACCCTCATGTCACGCCTCTCAATCTTATTCTGGCGGGGTTTTCTCAGATTGGAGCTGTGTTTCCTGCGCTCTACCAGATACTCTCCCATTTCTCCCTGCGTGTAAGATTGCTCCTCCGGAAAAATGCGTGTCCATCTGCTTTCGGCAAGACGTGTGTCGATTTTTCTTAAATCCTGTGGTGCATCTGGCGAGCTTGTCTTCAGTTCCTTATTCTCGGCGCTCTTATACCCTGTCTTTTAATGCTTCTGAGTGTTGTCGTCATTTGTCATTTCAAAGGCGACAAGTGGAAGCGTCGAAGAAAACGAATACCAAGTCGATCTGTCAGCACGTTCAAATCAGGCAGTACGGATTGAAGTATCGTGACCGACACCAGACTACGGAAGCGGAAGAATGAAGGGAACCGAGAGGAGTTGGCGGGAAGGACGTAATCTGGCAAGAACAAAGCAGAAAATTTGCATATAGGGTTTCAGGATTTTAGGCTTAAGCGTACGAGGAGCTGAGTATTATACTGATTAACGGGTTCCCAATTATGTGCAGAATCGGCGAGGAGCAGACGCCGGAGGATGCGGAAGACGGCCCCCCCGAGCTGCTCTTCATCCACGGCGGCCACACGAGCAAGATCTCCGACTTCTCCTGGAACCAGAACGACGACTGGGTCATTTCGAGCGTGGCGGAGGATAACATTCTCCAGATCTGGCAAATGGCGGAGAACATCTACCACGAAGAGGACGAGGGGGATGACGAGAAGGATAGGATGCAGACTGAGTCATGACATGGAACTTAAGGTCGCGAATCGTATGGCTTGCAAAAGAAGACAACAGTTGTGTATTGATAATGCCAAAAGAATGAATGCGGATTCGCTCACGATCTGGGCCGCGCATGGTGCGTGCTTCAAATCGGGAACGAGGACGCGCATGTTTGCTGCGAATTGCGACTCCGAGTCACCTGACTTCAGTAGATCTTTGAGGTTGAGGTTCTCGTCCGACATATACGAGAAGAGAATCGTTCAAGGCCATACTTGCTACTCGAGGGTCCTACAGGGTGGCGGCCTAGCTAGGTAGACACGGTGAGCAGAGCTTGTGCTACAACATATTGCGCCAATTGACGGTACGGCTGGGTCGTGTCGGTCGCGTTCGATGCGCGCATATGCATGAAACCGGCCGCGGCCGCAGCGCGGGCCCGGGGTTCGACGATGACCCACATGATTGAAAGTACGATTTCGACTTTGTTGTATACCGTATGATTTGGAAGTGAATCACTTCAAATTACGGTGGATTCAGCAGCTGCTCCCACACTAGCGACCTTCGTACTAAGTCCGATTGATCGATGGACTCGGAATAGTACGTTTGCTCATGGGCTGGGGGGCGCGCGGCGGCCAGCGCTCAGGTCACCGTGCCGGTGCAGTGCATTCGAAGTAACGACGCTTCGACCGTTTCAATAAGTTTCGGTACCCGGCACGGCCAACTCGATCCGAATTCTTCAACAAGAAGTCAGGCCCGGCCGCGGCTCATATACGAGCTGCATGACTGGCTCACCATCCATGCATGTGCATGCAATGTGCAGATGCTTAAGTTGATTGACCAGCTAGAGTTACATGCTCAAGTATCGTGCATCACCGTACTGCCGCTCACTGAGTCAGTGCCGTCCAATCTTGTACATGCCGGCATATGGCGGCCGGGCTGGGCCGGGCTTAGGCCAAATCGGACGGCGCGTCACGTTGGAGTCGAAGTGGAGAATGAGAGGCCGGCCCATCTTCCAATTGGGGACCAATTCCGCAACCATCATGGCGGCCAGCATGGCTGGCACAAAGCGGTCTCAATCAGTGTTCGGTATCCACTCAATGGCTGAGACCCGAAAGTAGCTCTGCTCGATGCCCTGCTCTTAGATAAGGACCAACCGGCCTCAACCAGCCTGCTGCGCTCGCAAACTCTCGCCCATCGTCCCCACGCTTTTGACGTCCACCTTCACTCCGGGGCCCATGCTCGACGACATGTTCAAACTAACCAAATAACCCGCGTATCTCCCGGGCACTCCCTTCGCCCCCGCCGGCTTCGCATCCAACAAAGCCGCCGCAAAAGCGCCCAGGTTATCCTTGATCGCGCCATCGGTGAAGCTAACCTTGCCTAAACCCACGTGGACGATCCCGTACTTGTCGGCACGGAAGTTGACGCGGCCGCGCTTCGTGGCGCGCACGGCTTCGGCCACGTCATTCGTGATGGTGCCCACTTTGGGGTTGGGCATGAGGCCACGTGGGCCCAGGATGCGCGCCACCTGGCAGAAATGGTGACCAAAATGGTTAAGAGGTGGTTAAGAGGTAGTTGCAAGGCAGAACCAGCGCACAGCTTCGGCCACGTCGTTCGTGATGGTACCCACCTCAGACTTGGGCACAAGGCCACGTAGGCCGAAAACGTCCGCCATTTGGCAAAGATGATATCACAGTGATAAAAAGTGGTCATGGACTGTTTGCAAATCCTAGCGCACTCCCTTCAACACCGTTCCCTTCAGCATGGGACCGAGTAGGGCCAGACTAGGCCCACCGCGTCGGATTTATGTCAACTGCTTTTAAGGCAATCTCAAAATTGGAACAGGCACAAGTTGGGTCCTGAGCCGGAATTTCAGCGAAGCAGAGCACGCACAGAATGAGTGCGGTTGGACAGTCATGATCGGAAGCCCACAATGCTCACTATAAGCAGAGCGAAGCCCAGAGCAATAGATCCATGGGTTAACTCCAGATCTTCACATTTGTCAAGCTGGGCAAGCGGCCGCCACTTGCGTTGCCGGGAATCTCGTCCTAGCGGGCTCGTATACTTCCCTCCAGACCCAACAAGAGTCTCATCCGTCGGCCCCTCCGCATACAAACACTAACAGGAGACGAAGGAGTAGAAGCTTACTTGTCCAAGCATAGCATCATTGCCGGCGTTGCAATGCACCGGTCGAAGTCGAGCTTCCCCCCGATCTTGAATCTTACATCTTAGATGCGACAGAAAGCGAGAAAATGAATTCTCTCACACAAACTTTGACAGACACAAATAGTCAGGATTCAAAAGCGTTGTGAGAGCTCACTTGACCGAGCATAGGCATCATGGCCGGCGTTGCAATGCACCGGTCGAAGTCAAGCTTTCCTCTGCTCAACCCAAGCTCCCCATCGGACAGGAAAGGAACGTCGACTTTCGCACATAAAGCTTGAAAGTCCAGAGTTGTAAGGAGAACCAAGCAAAGCCAGCAAATCTGATCAAAAGCTTACAAAACCAACAATCACGTGGCGACAATGAGCCGAAGGAGCGCAACTCTCACATACAAAGCTTGGCAAACCAGAATTGAGAAGAGCCAAAGGAGTTGTGATCTATCATACAAGAAAGATGGCCAAGGCTCACTTGTCCAAGCATGGGCATCATTGCCGGCGTTGCGATGCACCGGTCGAGACCAAGCTCCCCCCCGCTCTTCCTGATCCAGATTTCAGACGCGACAAAATGCCAGAAAGTATATCATTGCAAACAAACCTTAAGAATCATAGTGTAAAGGCAGTGTGAAAGCTCACTTGTCCGAGCATAGGCATCATTGCCGGCGTTGCGATGCACCGGTCGAAGTCGAGCTTGCCCCCGCTCTTCTTGATCTCCTCCACCAGATCGTCCGCGCCCACCACGTCAGCCCCCGCCGCTCGCGCCTCCTCGGCGGCCGGGCCCGATGCGAAGACCGCGATCCGAACCGGCTGCACCGAAAGAAGATTCGAGATCATGAATCTAGACTCCGTTAGGGCAGACTGCTAAAAAAGGATTCGAAAACTGAGGGTCAGACGGGTTCCAGTGAGAGTTTCAATCTGCCGCAATGACGTCACCACCTGCCGCTCTCGCCTCCTCATCGGCCGAGCCAAATGTCGAAGACTGCGACCCGATCCGGCAGCTGAAATAGTTTACAAATTTGAGTCGGACCAACGGACTAAAGCAGCCGGCTACAGTAGGGGTTGAAGACTGAAGGTCAGCCGGGATTCCAAGGAATCTTCGCCTGCAGCGGATGACGTCAGTTCCGGCAGCTTTAGCGGTTTGGGCGGCCGGACTCGATAGCGAGTCCGGCCGCCCAAACTGTTGATTCGAACAAGCTGGGCAGATAGAAATTTACGAGTCTGAATCTTATCGAAGCAAGACCTTCAGAACAGGAAGAACGCTTTCAAGCGACACGAATCTAACCACACGTAGAAGTTTTGGGTGAATCAAGGAAGTGGATTGTGCAGAAGGCAATCAATGACAGGGCAATCCCCTCGCACAGTGCTTGCCGAAGTAGGGATTCTGTGGGCGTGCAAGCTACCCCGCAAGCGGTAGCTTGCAGGAGCTTGGAAGGCGGCTACGAACACATGCTCTCCGACTAATCCAACGCTCGCTCAGAACATCGGACAAGCAGCTAGCTGCTTGCAGAAAGACAGCAGTAGCGACGATACAAGCGGATAGAAGAGGACGCAGGAAACCACTAGTTAAGGATGACCTGACTGTCGGCTTTCACCCTTTTGAACGAACGAAACGTGCACCCAGGGAGGCTACAAACGCCCACCTTTCCACTCCCGTGTGGAAGGGACGCCGCTCCTCGCACCATCTGATCCCCTCGCTTCGGATTCACACCCAACTTGATCGCAGCTTCGACTGTCTCGTCAAACTTCGCCTTTGCGTTTGACTGCACAAAAGAGGACGCGCTGATCTAAAGGGGTTCATTGAAAGTGCTCAAAGTACCCGTCTGTGATTTTGATTGGCTAACAACTTTTCTCGAGAGGTCGGCTTTCCAGCCTTTCTATGGTGACCCAACTACAGCGCTTTCCCACAGCAGCTGTTGTGGTGCTCAGGCAGACGCCGCTGGACTTGCTCTTACAGGTGTGTTCCTTGAAGAAGTTCGGACGCCAATCTCCGTAATTTTTGCCGACTCTCAAGTGAATGTGGCGGCGTATGGAACCCAGGACGCAACCATCGCTTCCCAATGAAGGTGGCCGCACCCATCAGAAATTGTTCCCAGGGTAAACAACACGAGACACCAGCCGAGTCTGGCTCACCAACACTCGGCTCACTTACCTCTGTAAGATCCTTTTGGAACATCGCACTTTTTCGCAGCCTTTGACTTTCTGCCATTCGTTCAGATCCTTTGTGGGTTGTTCTTCCATCTGCACCTACTTTGGCATCAAATCTAAGCAAAAAACCGACCGTTGCTTCCAACAACACCCTCCCTTCACTTCAGGGAGCAATCACAAACGGGGCCCTTGCTGAGAACGGTTACCAAATCAAGGAGTGCCAACTTCTTGATGAACCCCTCCGCAAAAGCTCAATAAGAGATAGAAGCCAGTGAGAGAAGCCAGTGAGATCTTCGACTCACTTTGATAAATTTCAGCGCGTCGTCTAGAGTCAGGATTGGTTGTGCCGGCCTTGACTTGTCGGCCGGGGGTATGAACGTTGGGAACGTCGCGGGGGCTTTTGGAGGTGCGGGCTTTGGAGTGGGGGGTTGAGCGGCGATCGTTGGTTCAGGAGTGAAGACAAAGTCCTCTGGCAGAGGGGCCTGTTGAGAAGGAATGAGATATAAGAATTGTACCAATTCGAAAAGAGAGACAGGCTTGTTGTGGCAAAATGGCCCCTCAGGGCGTTGTTGCAAATCCAGAAATCGTCATGGACAGTTGTCGCGGGGTCTTCGGTCGGCTATCGTTGGCCTTGGAAGTTGGAGGTGTTCTTCAAGGAGAGCTGTGCAAATGATGAGGCAGAAACAATCAGGTGGATTCCACGATCAAAACTTGATCGGCTAGCACTGAGCAGCTTGGCCTAGAAGCATCCTACGGGAAGGCAGCTACCGGACTTGCAAGAAAACGAAGCTCGAGGGTGGGGCCTTGGAAAGAGTGCGCTCAGAGTGGAAGACGACCCATTGGAGTGGCAGGCGACTGAAGTAGAACGCTACGGGAGTCTTAACGACTGTTCAAAGCCTCTCACTTGAAATATGCGAATGCAGGCATTGGCTTACGACTGGTGAGTCTGGCTCAATTGGACAGATGGCTCTTTGCTCAGACTATAACTCGGACCACTTAAGCAGTACCTCTGTGCAAAACAGTCTGGCTTCAGTTGGCGTCTAAGCTACATAATCAAGGTCGTAAGGACACTGCGCCAAAATGATGACATCGGAAAGAGAGCCTCCGTCACCTACCGCCACGGTGCGGCCGCTTCCTATTTAGGTTCCCAGTGCATCGCAACAAACATCGGGGTTCACTTGGCTTCTATGCTACCCTTCCGACTACAAAAATCAAACAGACTGCGCCAAAAGAGAAGCGAGGGGGACAAAGCCTTGATCACCTGCCGCCACTGTGTGGCCTCATTCCTGCACGAAATCGCTGGGCACAGCTACAAGCATCTGGCTTCACTTGTCGTCTACACTGTCTTCCAACCGTAAAGATGAAACATACTGTGCCACAAAGGGAAGCCGGGAACAGAAAGCCTTGAATCACCTGCCGCCTCGGCCCCGCCGCTTCTTGCGCCATCGCCTCAAGGTCATCCAGCAATGCCTCTTGCTGCTCCTCGAATTGTCTCGCCTCGGGATTCATCGCTTGCTCCTCCACTGACATCGCCGTCTCGTTCAGAAACTCCGACAACTCTTCTGGCGCAAGGGATCCCGCGCTACTGTTTACATTAGTGTTTGGCGTCCGAATCGATCCATCCGATTGCGCTGTCCGAAAAGAAGCGTCCGAAGAGGTGGTATGTGTGGAGGCGTCTGATTGGCCCGTCGATTGCTCTGCTAGCAAAGCATGGTGTGCTGCGGAAGCGATGTATCTGGATTGAAAACTTCCAAGTACCTGGTTGGATTGCAGGAAACTGGACGCAAGCACGCGCCGGAGCAATGCCATGTTGGCCTGCTGTGATTCGCCCTTTTCTTAGATGTTGGGATGGAAAGAAAGTTAAAAGTGCGAAGAAAGAAACAATGTACAAAATTGGATGTTTTCAATCCTTTATTGGATTGCAGGGTTGCTCACAGAATCCTGTAATGCCACCACTTTTGCAGCTGGGGGCAGAAAGGCTGATTCAGATCTTTTCCTTATGCAGCGGCCTCAGAATGCTCAAATGCCGCAGCGACAGCCTTAACTGCATACGGTATATTGCATGCCGCCGCTTCTGCTTCTCTTCTTTCACCACCTTGGAATGGATTTCAAATCCACAGAAAACGGAGTTATGTTTAACAGGTATTAAGCACCTCTCTCAACAAGCTTCCTCAGCAAACTTCGAAAGCTTCTACCTCTTCCTGGCGTGAGTTCATGCGCAGGTGAGACCGATCATTCAGAGTGGTAAAGCTCACACTTTTGACCCTTGCAACCCCTTTACCGTCATCGGCCTTGAACTGTCCGCGCTGCTAGTTCTGTAACCTCAGCACTGAGCACACTTCGCGCGCTCCCCAATTTTGAAGTTGTCTCTGGCTGAAGACTAGTCTGCAGAATGCTGCTCAATGCTGGCATTGTGCGCAAAGAGGCGAGGGCGCCGAACCTATGCAAGCTGTTCCTCATGACCCCATTCTTTCCAGCTGGGGCCAAAATGGTGACGGGAAAGTGAGCTGTGCGCGAACGCCGCGCATTTGGTGTCAAAGCGGGCGGCCATGATCCTGGGCGCTGTTTTAGCTGCCAGGCAATTGCGTTGCTGTGCCACTCGAATGGGTTTCCAATGTAGAAACGCAATGCCGGCGAAAGCTGCCGTCACCAATAAGGCGGCACGTTTCTTGCATTCCAACGCTCTCAAATGCGTAGCGAGCTCCCATTGTTCGCCGGTCGCAACTTCCCCAAGGGTTTATTCAACACTGACAAGTAGTCGGTCTTCGGGACTCACAAGGGGAATCAAAGCCACAAGGGTTTCCAGAATGCTGGCAAAAGCTCAGGTCGCAAGGGGATATTTTTCGCCAGCTGGCGCAGGTGATGTCACCACTTCGAAGAAACAAAGTGTCAGGTGCGCAGCCGCAGAGTGGTATGAGCACGGGTGGCGGGCGGCGTCTCTGGTCAGAAGCGACAAAAGTTCCGCTCCTAGTTGGAGTGGTGGAAGAGTGACAGGGTCAGGCTCCAGCACGTTCTTGGGGGCCCCTTTCAAGGCTCTTGAAACGCAACCGAGGTAAGCTTTCTGAGCCTTTTTTTCAGCTCCTACTCTGCTTGTCATTTTCTTAAGATTTGAAATCAAGCTGCTCGAATAAGCCCAATATGTACAGTACTTGTGATGGCCAAGGCCCTTCAAGTTACTCTGCTAGCGGTTTCATGTAATAATCAGTTTCAAAGCTGGTTGAGTCAGCTTGGTATGTGCTGTACTTGTGTTGGCCAAGCTCTGTGGGTGGTGGTTTCAAGAACAATAGACATAGATTGTTTTGTTGAAAGAAGTAATCTCTGGAAGATGCACATTCTATTGGAGTAGAAAGAGATCTGGCGGATTCAACTCGGAAACAAAAGGCATTTGGAAACTTTGTTGCAATGATCCACAGACGCTCTGACGTGGACCACGCACAATGCATAACTTTCTTTTTGGGGCAGAGGCACCCGTTTTGACACCACATAGAGTCCAGTGGGCAATCAACGGTATGTAGCCACCGGCTTCACTTTTCTCTCAGGCGGACGTTCTTCTCGTTCTTCGGACGTGCGAGAGCGGGTCCGAAGGCCCGAGAAAAGATCGACAGTACGTTTCAGACGAGGGAGGACAAGGACTGGTGGATAGAGGTAGTGCCCTTTCTCCATCACAGACATAGACTTTTTCCAGTCTGCTTTCACTTGCTTTTGTACAGTATCTGACACGAGGCGAAAATATCTATGATTGAATGAGTGTCTTTTGCTTTTCTAGCAACTCGAGCAGCAGCTGTTTTCTTGATGGAATCTTGAACACCATCGTCAGCTGTAGCCACAAGGTTGAAGTCTACTTTATCTCCAAGAAGTTCGATGTGTAAGATTTACGTTGCCCTTCAAACCTATTGCCCTTCTGCCTGTGTCCACAAAGTGTCTGCTGGTTCCGATTTCAGTTCGTGAAAACTCCTCCAGACGAAAGGTGCTACTCTACCCTTTCTACTTCGTCGGATCACTTTCCACTTTTGTCTAGCGGATGTCGTCAAATGTTTCCTTCAACAGATATTCTGTCCAAAACCTAGGCCGTTTTTCCCGTGTCGCGCTTGTCGCCATCATTTCTATGACGCTTCACAACATCGAACTTTGAGATTCATAACTTGCCAAGCCTCCCTCCTTTCTTGACGTTGTAGCAACACGATATTCAATGCTTTCCTTAACCTGGTTCTAAACCAAGCGAGAACATTGACGCCTGCGATAAGTACAACGCGTTGCTGATAAGCGAGAAGCTTGATTCTGAGATGACTACTTACTTTCGCTGGAATCGGTTGTTAAACCTCATGCATAAACTGGCTGTGATAAGCTGACACGCGGATGATGCACAAAAGACCTAGACTTCTAATCGCATGCTGGCTCAGGCGAAAAGGTTAGAGTGGGATTGTATGGCCTGGAAATGTGGTAACCAAATCTCGTTTATTCCGTTCTCGAACTAATGCAGAGAATGAAGGCCTGCGATAAACCTGGTGTGTGACGACGCGCCACTCTCACTCTACCCGACGCATAGCATCCCGTTCCCTCCTTAGAGATATTCTGTTGGTTAATTTGTCCTTACTAATCTACCCAGCGTCTCTTGACCTTCTAATCTTTACCCGTTTCGGACTTCCCGTACAGAGAATGGAGGCCTGCGATAAACCTGACGCGCAACTGATGCGAGAGAAGCTCGACTTCAATAGCATGCTGGGTCTCGACGAGGAGGTCAAACCGGGGACGTAAGTTAACCCCATTCCTTGACCTCTCAAACGCTGTCTCTTCCCTGCCAGTCTAACTTGAGCTAACGGTGATAAACTGGAGCATCAGAGAGACATCAGAGCATCCGGGAGAAAATTTCTGGCCGATCGCAGTGGCGATTCTGTAATTTGAGATTGTTTACTCAAATCTTTTCTTCCCGTTTCCTTTTCAGAAGGCAATTCTCTCACGTCGAACTGACCCGGCTTTTGAATCCCAGGGTGAACGCAATCAGACCGGTGCACTGGAAGGCCCGTCTCAAGCCCTTCTCCGAAAGTTTCTCAGAAGATGGTCAAAGTTGCGTTCGGCTAACCCAACTGTAACCCATATTTTCAGGGTGAACGCAGTTATACTGGAGCATCGGAAGGCCCAGCCACGATGCATGCTGCTGACGAGAGTGAGTTCCCCCTCTTTACAAAACCTTTTTGCTCCAAAGTCCGCTGATAGAGGGTAGTAAGAACCTTTTCGTGCCTGTAAAGCAGCGTCGAAGAAGCGCGCATTCTCCGTAACCCGTGCCGACACGCGACTGTGTTGCTAACTTCGAGCTGACAGTGTGCCTAAGGGGCATGTCTCGATAGATCCTCTAGTGTGACGCGTCTCCTGCTCTTACTCTTACTCATAACCCGGAACGACGGACCAAATTCTACAGCTGCTTCAGCGACGTGCAATACAATGTGCCCTGTTGATAAGCTCCTCTGCTTAGATCCGCAGAAGTCTCGATTGAACCTGCATTTCCAGGGAAGCCCATGTAGCGCATGGGGAAGTGATTGCCACGTGTCGTCTCGCAGGTGGGCGACTTTTACGAGTCGATCGGGTTCGATGCGGTGCTGATGGTGCAATACGCGGGGCTCAACCCGATGGGCCAGAAATTGCCAAAGGCGGGATGCCCGAAACAGGTGCGTCTAACATTGGAGTAAGAACACAACCTGATTGCACGATAGAGGAACTCAGTGTACATGAGCGCGTCTATCTCGAGACTGGTAAGAGACCTTATTCTAAGGTATAGGCCCTATCTGATTGACACGCGGCATTTCGTTCCGTCTAAATAAGAAAAGGGGGCCTGAGGTTGATTCTTATTTCATCTTTTTGGACGCTCTTTGATTTTTGTAAGGTTCGGTCCGGAAAAGGGCATCGTGAACGTGACAGGGAGGTCTAACAGGTTGAGAAGGCGGTCGAGCTTTGAGATGCCGGATCTCTCGAGCGGCTTCTTCCTTGTTTCGCACCTACCCGCTACGAGAATGTCGTGTCTAAGTTACGGTCAAAGTCGGAGAAAGTTTGTCTACTTCAAACCCGTTACCGCTCGTCATTGTTATTCTCGTCCTTGCAGAACATTTCCAGGACCATTGAGCATCTAGGTGCGGCGGGATTTAGAGTGGTGAGCTTTCCAGATGCCTTCCGTCTTTCCTTCTTGTGGCCGATCCCCAAGTGCGGTTAGGATGAATTGCAAGGGCGGAAACCGGTCGCGAGTCTCTGCCACATGGAAATCCGGATATTGTTTAAGCTTGCTGTCAATTGCTGTGACTTGCTGTGAACTGCCTGCTCTAGCGTTCATTCTTCTTGTGAACTGCAGACAAATCTGAAACTAGAGAAAACATATGACTTTGGTTGAGATGCGCTATGCCGCGATGGCTCAAAGTTCAAATGTCTGTGGGAGCTGATACCACTTTGCGTGTCAACTGTGCAGGGCGTTATCGAAGAGGCGGGGCTTGACACACGCGGGCGAAAGGAGAGGTATCTGGGAGGGTAAGTTCCTGAGCGACTACTAGCCCTGTCAAGGAGACCAATTGCCTAATCCTTCTTCCGTTCCTACCATACGCGTCTATTCGCTGTCAGAACGTTGTGGGACTGGATCGTTCACACAATTGATATATCACGATCAATACGGGTTACTCAGATGGTGTCTTCGTTCTAAAGTTTTGGATGCCGAGTGCAGAGACGCGGCAATCAGAATCAGGAACGTTTCGTGCTGAAGCCCTTTGACGCCCCCAGCCGTTTGTTTCACAGGGCCTTGATCAGATCAAAGGAAAGTCCGCTTCTAGCTCACAGGACGACTTCTTTGGTCAGTTTGTTTTCTGCTGGACAAGGCAAAGGTGTGCTCGACAGCGTGCGGCACTCATCTCCCCAAACCATGAAACGATCGTTGGCAACTCTTGCAGCATTTACAGCAAAGAGAACCCGTATCTGCGGGGGATTGTGGACAGCGAGAAGGATGGTGACTTCGACGAGCCGCCTCCCATTGTGGGTGAGTCTGACAAACAAGCAAAATGTGCTTTGCATATTTTGGTCATCTTTTTGGAAACCTTTCGAAGCTCTCCAGGAACCGCATCGATCGAGACCAGTGCGGCTTTCCAGGGGCTTGATCGCTTGAGCCTGGCACTGAATGACCCCGTTGGTGACCTTTCAAAGGCTCAATGCATGGCAATCAGTCGCGAGCAAGCTGCGACGCTGGCGTGACTGACTCCCCAGACCATGACTGTTTGACGCTGTTGGACAGTTTGACCCTGTTTGACGAAGCCTGGATGTTGCAATGCAAGTGCGAACAGCAGACTCTTTCTGCGTGACACGGGGCTTGCGGCGCACTTTGCCGGTCTCACCTTTCGAAGTCTATCCTGTGAGCATGATTGTTGATGGCGAGGGTGGGGACAATAAAACTCTTTGCTGTGCTTTTCTACAGCGCACTTACAGCAGACCGTGAGATAAGATCGCTTTCCTTTTCACCCCGCAGGCTTGGCCTTTTCGAAACGCGGCTACATCATGGTTTCGGTCAACCTGCCGATGCAAACCTACGTCAAGGAAGAGAACTTGACGGAGGAAGGCGTGATCGCCAAACTGAGGGAGCGGGGCGCCGCCCCGATTCTCTACATCCACTCTTCGCTGCGAGATGGCGCTCCTGGTGAGCTTTTTCGGGTCAATTCAAGATTCTGGGGTTTTGAGCTTTTGGGTTTTGAGGTGTCGGGGTTTTCAGGTGCTAGAATTGTAGGATTTAGGGTGTTGGGGTAAGGTCGAAGCGCTCTCTTGATGGTTGAGTGTCCTCCGCAATTGGTGGTTGATTTCAGACGCGGCTCCTCACATCAACTCTTTGCTGCGCGGCGGTGCCCCCGGTAAGCTGTTCCCGGCCGCTTCTCAAGCGCTCCCTCGCAATGGTTTGCCTGTGCGCAGTTGTTCTCCATTTCGGTGGCCGATCTACGTCAAACCGGTCTGTTTTCAATCAGAAGTTTGTTGAGCGACGGAGCCTCTCGTTAGCATCCCCGATCAACGTCGAAAGCACTCTTCCCCAGCAGTTGCCTCCGTGAAAATAGTTGCTGGTCTTTGCTGAATAAATCTTCCTTCTTCGTAGTTCCGATCGGTAAACTCCGGGTCTCTTTCTCGAGCAATGTGCGCTGTAGCCTCCGTGATCTTGCCCAATTTCTTTGAAGGGCGCTAGTCTATCGATCAATTGGACTAAAGGGCGTTTTGAGTAACGTCGAAAGGGTCTGGGTTTCGCGCTTCATCCAGCCTCGAAAAAGTGGATCTTGGCATGATGACTGGAAATGATTGAGTTCCGCAATTTTCCCTTGAAGCCTCTCCTCATTTGGTGCCCTATCAGGAACGCCCACGTGGCAGAAGAGCGCCATCAAGACCGAGTGCGAGACACGTGGCTCGCTGGCATTCTTCACTGGAGACGCCATGGAGCTTGAGGAGGTGATTCTGGCAGAGGTGCGTTCTCTGCGTCCTCGCTCTGGTTACTCTTTCAACGTCTCTTTGCTGACGAGCCAGATCAGTCTTCATGGGCAGCTGTCCCGTTTGCTTGTCAAACGTTCTATGTCCGCCGTCTTTTGATTTCAGATCTCATGTCCCGTCATTCTGAGTCTGCGCCCTTTTCCCAGTTCAGAACGCGCCTTTCTGCTGGACAGCTGGATTCGTGAGCCTTGTCTTTATCGAGGCGACTGTAGGCCTGTCATCGTCATCTTTGAAGTCGCCGTGAAGGGCGTCGCTCTCTTTGATTCTCAATACCAATCACTGCTCCCCAAGCCGTATAGCCACGACTCCCCTCCTTGATTGACCAGAGGTTGTATTGTCATCCCATCCGTTTGATGCCACGTGTCAGCCGCTGATGGGTGCTCTTATATCCTGCAGGTCCGAAAAGCGTACAACAAAGAAGGAGAAGACTTTGAGGAGACCAGGAACGTGAATGAGAATAGGCCCCGCCCACTGTACTACTCGACCGCGATCCAGATAGGTGGGAGCCCTATCACACTTCGTCCTTGGCTATCATGTCAGAGTTGCGACAATCTGAAACATAGAGTTTCATAGCTCATTTCTTCCACTCGCTGTCAGAATGGACTCATCAGGTAACGAGAGGGTTTGCTAAGGAAGCGTATAAGCTGCTTTCACCGGGTCCTTGGCGTTGCTTGCACGCCTTGAATAGCGTGGCCCGCGTCGAACGCTTCTCGATAGGCCTTTTCCAATGAACAGTTACCTTATAAGTAGCCGGACCAGGGTTCAAAGCGTTGGCCACGGATGTGAGTGTCCGGTACTGCTGAAAGGACTGTCCGGTACTGCTGAAAGGATTGTCCGGTACCACTGGATTGAGTGACCGGTAGACCTTCCCGACAGGTCTTCACCCGCTTGCCGGCATGCCCCGGTTGCTCGACGCAGTGATGCCCAAGGACGCCAGCAAGCTCTGCAGAAGGTGCGCATTCACATCGAAGCTTTGCATGCACATTTTCAAGAAATGTAAACAGGCTGGACTGTCGGTCCGACAAGTGGCGCAAGCCGTCTTCCTGCGAGAGGATCATGTCAGGAACTTAAAAAGGACTGTAGTTTTGGACTGCATATTGATAGCTTATCGAAGAGGGAAAGCGCGCTCCAATTCTTGCAATCCGCCCCTCACGTTGATCTCCCTAATCCTCAACCTGTTCTGTGCATACAGCTACGTAAAGCGACTGCTTCTCAACCCTCCACCTTACGAGACTGCCGGAAAGATACAAGGCAAGTTCTCTTCCTGCTGAAGTTTGTTTCTCTCGGTGGGTTCTAAGAGCTACGCGTTGCATCTCTTATGAGAACGCCTACAGGTTGAGGGCATATTCTGGAGATGGGATAGGGTTTTCTGATAGCACTTTCGTGAAAATCGTTTTACCCCTGGTGAGAGTTTGAAGGGTAGAGAAGAGAACCTGAGGTAGTGTTTCGCAATCCTTGCCTTCCTTGAACGCGCGATTCTCAGCCGGGTACTTTGATCCAGGTAGCCGAAAGTCAATTAACAAGACTCGTCTCATCCAGATTGCTCATGGAGTCAAATCTAAGTTGGTGACAGCGAACAATGAACATAACAAGACGTGCTCACGGTTCGTCAAAGGACAAGTTGTGGAAACGCCGAGCTCCTAAGCGCCTTTCTTCTCCATGCAGAGGCGTGCCGACTGCTCAGCTCCGTCTCCGTCTCCCTCCCCGACTTCCCCTGTGAGCCGGACTATAAACTGGTCAAGCTCATCCGCGAACGCGAAGTAAACCACAAGCAGTTCTCCCAGATCCGGGCGCTGTCCGAGAGCGTCCGAGCCATGTTTGCGGACGACGCCCTGCGTCCGATTGCGCGGCTGCTGCTGGAGCCGACGGAGCTAGCAACGGGGCTGACCGGGTTTGACGAAACCCGACTGGTGGGTTTCATAAACTGAGAAACCTCACACTTTTACTATATGTGTTTTCTTTGAAATTCAGTGTCCGAAAGCGTCCGAGCGATGTTTGCGGACTTGGCACTGCGTCCAATTGCGCGGCTGCTTGTGGAGCCGACGGAACTGGCAACGGGGCTGACCAGGTTTGACGAAAACCGCCTGGTGGGTATTCTTAATCCTGACGATTTCTTGGAATTCGTTCATTCTGTAGATACTTTGAGAGCTGTCCGAAAGTGTCCGAGCCATGTTTGCCGACGAGGCCCTGCGACCAATTGCTCGGCTGCTGCTGGTGCCGATGGAGGGCTGGCGAAGGGGCTGGTTGGATGTATCGATATCGGCTGGTAGCTATTTCACTCAAAGTTTTCCGGATCACACCCTTTTTAACGACAAACCCATATGTCCGAAGACATCAAAAGCGATGCTCGTTCACGGGATTCTTGATTCAATCGCAAGGCAGCTGCTCGATCCGTCCACGTCGGGATTGCAGGTTGCCGACTGTGGAACATTACCGCAATGATTGCAGGCAAGGCTCCGGACGCCCGAGAGCGGCAGATAGACGGCAACTTCCGATTATAGCTCAGTCTTAGCTCCTTAGTTCCTTCTTTTTCAGTCTCGCAAAAGCTTTCTACTTTGGCAGTTCTGATTGTGACGATATTATCGGGCTTATTTCGGCGAAGGTTTTGGACATGCGAAAGCAGCAGACGGACGGCAATGTAATATTGACGCACTTCTATCACGTTTACCCTCTTGGTGTCTCACTCTTGCTCATTCATAATTGTGTTGCAGACTGCTAATTGTGACGAGACTATCGGGCTCATTTCGGCGAAGGTTCCGGACGTCCGGGAGCAGCAGACGGACGGCAACGCGAGCCTGATCATTTTTTCGTCACGTGTACAGTTTTCGTGCCCACCCTTATTATCTCGTAGTTGTTTTGCAGACTGCCGACTGTGACGAAATCATTGGGCTCATCTCGGCCAAAGTGCCGGACGTCCGGGAGCAGCAGACGGACGGCAACGCCAGCTGGCTGACGATCGATGACGACTTCCGGGCGCTGCGCGATTTGTTGGACGAGAATGAACGAGGATGGCGAGGGCGAATCAAGGACGAGCATTTGGAAACCGAGTTCAACGAGGTGATGTCATCATTCTCTTTCCTTCTTGACTTGAGGCGATTTGATGTGGGTATACACTCTTCTTACCGCTCTAAGGGATAGACGAATCGAGATCTGGATGGACTGTCATCTGCAAGGCTGGGGCGTTTCGAAGACGATTGCCGGGACGCAAGATCAAGACCACTGCGTTCAGTTCTGTGCTTTCCTAACAACTGAGGTTTCACTTTTTGCCAAGTCCGACCAGTCATTCGGAGCTGTTCTGGGCTGCTTGAAGAGAAGGAAGGTGGCGGGGTCAGAGCAAAGACGAGCTTCTAACGACCGGATTCAACAAACTCGATTTCTTGGGTTTCGCTCTCGGATGTGAGCGCTTTGTGAAGCTTTGGGGACAAGTTATATAAGGGGATGCGTAGGGTACGTTCCACGACCGCGGAGACGGAGACTCGAGTTGAGAGTTGCACATTCTATTCTTGTGCAGGTCTTTGCGGCCGCTCAAAAGCTGAAGGCGACTGTCGAGCGCGACTTTGGCGCGGTGCTCATGTTCGCAAAGGCGCGAGGGGGCACACTAAAGGTGGGCGTCGCTGTTACGAATTCAACCCACTGAAAGGTGGCAACCGTGTCGGGATCCATCCAGCGCTTTCATTGCACCAATCGGGCATGTCCTCAGCTAAACTACTTTTACCCAGTCCATGATAAGCTGGGGAGAATTCTGCTTGCCATTCCTCTTTGTGCGTGTGAAATTTTTGTTTTAGTCGCACAAAATGCGTACACATAGTCGGTGTTCGTAGAGTTCTCCTGTAGCATTCGACGCGTCCAACCCAACGCGTCAAATCCATCCGGAATCCTCGTTGAAGCGTCTGTAAGGCTCTTCAATGAGTCCGACCTCATCTTAGATCGCCTCTTCAAAGGCAGTAACCGAACAGCGTCCGAACAGCGTCCGAAAAGCGTCCGAAAAGCGCCTGAGTGCGCTGGTGAAGATCCGTACAATGCAACTTTGATCCAAACCTTTCTAGCTATGCGGAGGCCTTCGAATCCTTCTGAAGGATCTGTGTGCGGTTCTGTCCGGAACGTGGTTCGAGCATCGTCGAAGCGTCTGAGCTCTCCACGTGGCAGACCAACTTTGAGGTACAACCTGATGTTGGAAGATTCTCTGCTGCACGCCGCAAAAGCAGGTTGAGGCCCTATACCCTCGAGGGGCCCTATATCTGACGTTCTGGAAGGCTCTTGAGGCATCCAGAGCTTCTTTGTTCCTCGTTGCTCAAGATCACTCAGCTCCATCAATATTGCACTTGCAGGCGGAAGTCCCGCATAACCTGACGACGAAGGCTTTTTGGTTGCGCTGCAAAGGACTTCCTAGAGGAAAGTTTATAACGTTTGGTACCGAAAACCTCCTTCGAAGCGTTCATATCAAAATCTTTTGAGCTTCATTCTCAAGCTTTAAGGTCCGTTCTCGCAGGCGGAAGTCCAGTATAACCTGACGACCAAGGGCTTCTGGCTGCGCTGCAAAGGCCTCAAGGCGCAGCCGCTGGAGGGGCCGCTTGCTGACGTCGGCGCGCGCTTACGTCACGCGGAGAACAACGGCAAGGTGGAGGCCAACTGTTGGACCACGGACGAGTGAGGAAACCGGATCCGGAGAAGCTCACGACTTTAAGGTCTCTAGATTGAATCATTATTATCTGGAATCCCACCCTCCCACAACAACAGCAAGTTGGAGGCCAACCGTTAGAACAAGGAGGTTTTCGATGTCGTCGGAAGTCCTGGTGACCGCGTAAAGCTTTGCACACAATGTTCAGAACGTCGTATAACGACAGCTGCAAGGTGGAGCTTAAGTTCCTGACCACGGACGAGTGAGCGGTCTGACTTGAACGCTTTACATAATATGATAAACGCTCGGTTCCTGAGGGGTGTTTGAAAGAAAACTCCGACAGATCTTGACCAATGACTTTTCCCTGCTGGTCAATCCGCTGGGTGCCATCAAGTTATGACTCCCCGTTCAAAGCTCTGTATTCCAAAATTCCGCTGACCTTTCTGCGTGCTGATCTGGCAGGGTGACGTCAGCGCTGAGCGCGTACAAGAAGGCGTCCGAGGCGGCCGCCGCCGCTGTCCGGAACGAGTTGCAATCGCTGGCAGAGGCGCTCGAGGTGCGTTTGGTGTGGCCCTTTTGCATATCGCCTCCCTAACGATATATATCCTCAATATTTTCCTGATTCGCGCTCAGATACTTGGTCGTGGGCAGCATTTTCCGACAAGCCACAAGCAAAACGTACTGTTTGCCAATCTGTTGTTTTGAGCTAACGTGTTACTGAAAGCAGGGGACAACAAACAGAAGACCGTCGATTGGTGGCTAAGAGTAGACGGAATAGACGCAGCGGCATGTGCGTGACCAGAATAGTCAAAGAGCCGGTGCATAGAGTTTGCGATACCAGTGCAAAAATGATTCCACCAATAACAGTCTAAGGGTGACGGCGTCACACCTGCGGCTGGTCATGTTTCTTAGAAAGTACTTTGTGTTCGGTAATTTGCTGTGATTAATCTAGCACAGCACGGCGATCCCTCCTTCCAGGTTTTGCTTCAAATCGAAGCTTGAAGGTTTCCATTGGTTTGGAATTGGCTCGTCGAGCGACCGTTGCTTGAGATCATTTGTCCTCCTTTGTTGCATACAAAGCGGACATCAGCATGCACGATTTCATGGTGGGACGTGATGGATTCTACATCTATCGGGAGTCTCGCTTGACTTCTTTGAACAGCAATCTTCGGTTCGACGTCTGTCCCAACAGCCCAACGACCATTGACACCGTGAACTGCGTAGTTTACTCCTCACAGACGATGTTTTTCTAACACGCTTATTCGGTAACAAGGCCACCCTCAAGACCTACAGCCGAAAACGTGCCAGTCAATCCTTGTCTCCCGTTTTATGTCTGACTTGAAAATCTCTTGTGCAGCCGAAGCTCAAGGCGATCCGCACAATTGCGTGCTTCGCAATCGTCGCCAAGTCGCTTCAAATGCACGTCACCGAAGGCATGCAGCGGCGCTGGGTCTTCCCCATCCTTTTGGATGATCCCCCAAACCCGGGGGATCCCTCGGCCGTGGCCGCTCAGCATGGCGCGCCAAAGCCTTCCAAAGTCGAAAGCTCGCCGAAGAAAAAGGTCGGACGGCCAAGCAAGAACGGTAAAGGTGGTGGTAATGGTGGACAAAACGTGGGCAGTGACGAGAATGGGGCAATGGAGTCTGTGGGGAAGCGGCGGCTGAGCGTGGAGGGCCTTGTTCCGTTCTGGCTGGACTTGGGGGCGGTGCCGAATACGTTTGGGATTGAGTCGATGGTGCTGTTGACAGGGCCCAACACGTCAGGTAAGCAGCTCTTTTTTGCTGATTATTCCGCTGGCTTTCTAGAAACAGCTTAGAACTCCGCAGCTCTATAACCCAAGTTCAAGCTTCTCGTTAAAAACGTGGGTTTGTGATTATAAGCTCCTTACAGGCTGGCAACCTCGTTAATCAAAGTGGCGTCAAGGTTAGCATCATAAAAGGGCGAAGACTCGGAGAGCCCAAACAACCGAAAACTGGTGTTACGCCTTCTTTAAGATGCGGGAGGATACAGGAACCCCGAAAGCCTTTCCTGTCTAGTTTCGTTTGCCGCTGTGCTTCCAACACTCTGCTTTTTGAGCGGGACAAGTCAACCATTTGGGTGTTCACGAATATTGAGATGAAGAGCGACGGGCGTCGCAGCCCCGTCAGCAAAACGTCAGCGCATGGTGTCCTGGTGCCTGCGACCCGTGTGATCGGCCTCGACACATCCGTAGGTCTGCTGCCGTCACGCTGACGATCTCGCCGACGTCCTTGGTAGTCTGCTGAGCTCTCACGAAATTGACTGACGGTGTGAATCTCTTTTTGCTGAACGTATCAACGATTCCGCACAACCTGCGGCTTGACTCTGCTGGAGTACCGCCACTCCTCAGCTGACGTCATATCTTTCTGTTTCGCAGTCAAATCGGGCGATCTCCGCCGCCGCTCTGGCGAACTGATGGTCCCCTGCGGCAGCGGCCCCCATGCCCCGGTCCAGTAAGCCATGTTTTTTTCTTTGCTGCGTAACTCATCCGCTGACGTCGTCGTTGCATTTGCAGGCCAAATGACGAATTCTGCGGGCAGTTTGCGTCGGGGGCCCTGCCAGCAAACTGCGGCCTGATGATCCCTTGCGCGACAACCCAAGTGACCCAAATTGAATAACCCAGATCTTCCTTTCTGCTGACGTCACTTCTTTTCTGACGTTATCCTTCACTTTGCGGGTAAATGGAAGTTCATGCCGGCAATCTGCGCTGCGGCTCTGCTGGCGAACTGCGGTTTGATGTTGCCTTGTGCGGCGGCTCACGCATTATGCTCCAATAAGCCATGTTCTTTTTATGCTGACGTTGTCGCTCCATTTGCAGATTCTGCGGGCGATCTGTGCCGCGGCTCTATTTGCGAAGTGCGGCCCGATGATTCCATCCACGGCGGCCGGCGTAACCCAGTTCAATAACCCGAGTTTTTGTCTCTGCTGACGTCACCCTTCGCTGACGTGGTCCTTCACTTTGCAGGTAAATCGACGATTCTGCGGGCGATCTGCGCCGCGGCTCTGCTGGCGAACTGCGGCCTGATTCCTTGCGCGGCAGCCCGCGTGACCCAGTTTCAATAAACCAGATTGTCCTTTCTGCTGCCGTCACTTCTTCGCTGACGTGATCCTTCACTTTGCGGGTATCTGGAAGTTTATGCGGGCAATCTGCGCTGCGGCTCTGCTGGCGAAGTGCGGTTTGATGATCCCTTGCACGGCGGCCCCCGTGACCCATTTCGATCTTATGTTGTTTTCCTTGTTGACGTCACCTCTTTGCTGACGTAACCTCTCAATTTGCAGGTAAATCGACGATTCTGCGGGCAATCTGCGCCGCGGCTCTCCTGGCGAACTGCGGCCTGATGATTCCGTGCGCGGCAGCCGGCGTCCCACGCTTTGACGCGTATATGCTACGCATGTTTCTGTCGGACAGTCCGGCAGAGTCGAAGAGCAGCTGGCAGATGGAGGCGATCGACACGCGGAACATTCTGGCGGACGTGACGGGCAAAAGTCTTGTCTTGGTGGGCACTCTTAATGATTTATCCACAAACTTTGTGTTTCGCGAAGACTGATTCAGTGGCGTTTGGCAGTCCGGCCGAGGCCCGAGCAGCTTGCAGAGTGAAGCGATTGACACGCAAAACATTCTGGCGGACATTACGGAAAAGAGCCTGGCTTTCGTTGAGCGTGACGACCAATCTTGACAAAGTTTGTGAGAACCAGCGGATTCAGGAAGACCGGAATCCTATTTGTCGACAATGCTATATGCTGTTTGGACGGTCCGGAGAGTACTTGGCGGATCGATGCGATCCACACGCAAATTCTTCTGACGGCGTTGACGGACAGAATCCGTGTTCTGACAAGCAGCCTTGGCCCCCATTTCGTCCTCATCGCACCTGCATGTTTGATTTTTGGTGATCTATACGATAAGATATTTAACAGAAAATGTTCAGGTGAGTGGCCCCATAGACCTCAAGATATCCCTGATGCATCGTCAAATCATTCGAGCCGCCTTGAGTGCATCGACTTTTGAAGGGGAACGGGAGCCTTGGCGCCACGGCCTTTGTCGGAGTGCTCCGCCCTTCACTCGGAATCTTAATGCATCTGAAGTTTTCAGGGCTTCTTTTGAGAATCTGGGAGGGCTCCGCCTTTCACTCAAAATCTTAATGCATCTGGATTTATTAGGGCTTCTTCTCAGAATCTAGGAGTGCTGACACGCTCAATCCGTTCCGCCAGGTGGGCGAGCTCGGGAAAGGAACAGAAGTATCCTAAGCTCTCTTTCCACTTATATATTCTGCTGGGGGTTCGGTCTTCTTTCTGGGGTTCTTTGAGTGCTGACAGCTTATTCCGGTCGCCAGGTGGACGAGCTCGGGAAAGGAACGGACGTCCACAACGGAATGGCCTTCGTCGGAAGTTTTTTCGTAACCTTCTTCACTTCTTCCATCCTGACGTGTGTTCAAGTTGTCTTTCTAGAATACTGACACGCTCATTCCGTTCCGCCAGGTGGACGAGCTCGGGAAAGGAACGGAAGTCCACGACGGAACAGCCTTCGTCGGAATGGTCCTGGAGTGCCTGGACGCCACCGGTTGCATGGGAATTTTGGCGACGCACTTGCACGGGGTTCTGGACATGGACCTGAAAACGCGACACGTGGCACGCATGGCGATGGGGACTAAGTTGGAAGATGACGGAAGCGGGCGGCCCGTGCGAAGGGCGACCTGGAAGCTGATAGATGGGGAGGTGGGTCGCCTGTTTTTCCTAGATTTCGAATCTTTCTAATGTTTCTGATGGTTTAGGGTTTTGACTTGAACTCAAAAGTGCGACACGTGGCACGCATGGCGATGAGGACCACGATGGAGGACGACATCAGCGGGGGACCTGTGCGAAGGGCGTCTTGGAGGGCGTCTTGGAGCTGATAGACTGGGAGGTGAGTCGCCTTTTTTCCTTAGCTTTGGGGATTGTGTTGATATTTCTGAATGGTTTAGAGTTCTGGAATGGATTTAAGCATGCGACAAGTGGCACGCACGGCGATGGAAAGCATGATGGAGGAACGATGAGAGCGGGAGCGCATGCGAAGGGCTTGGAAGGTATGGATGGCGAGATGTGTCGCCCTTTGAATCTTTCCAAAAGGTTCGATAAAAAATTCTCAGAGCTTTACATTGTTATTGATGTGGGTTTCTGAAAATGGACCTGCTGACGTAATACGTGGCGTGGAGGACGACGGCACAGAGGGGCAAGGGCGAGTTGGCAGCCGCTGGATGCGAAGGTGGGTCGCCGTTCAAGCTTTCTCAAAGATGTATTTGTATTTGACTTAGATGTAGACATGGACCTTAAACTGCAGAATGAGCAAACGAATAAAACCACGTTGGGGTCCCTTTTGATTTGACGACAGCCGCCTTGCGGCGACATCGGTAATGATGCCTTATACTCCGTTTGCCGAGTGAATCCTTTCCAGAAACGGAAGCGCATGTTGGCTGTCTGGAGTTGGAAGCCAGTTCTGAAGACACTTCTATCTGCTTCCGTGTTTGATGGGCTTCCTTTGTCTTTAAATGAGTTTTGAGGCTCCAGAGAAACAGAAGAATGTAAGGAATCTCCGTCATCAAGGATTATCGTGGGACTCTGACGCGAGTATACTACAGAGTCTGATCGGTACAGAACACATATCTTTACGATCTCCTGCATTATCAGGAGGTCTTGGACTTCTGTGGGCCGGATTATTATGACAATATCTCGTGAACTTTGCTTTTGTTTTGCAGTGCCGGGAGAGCCTGGCAATGGAGACGGCCCTTCTTGCGGGCATACCCCCCGGGCTAGTCGACCGGGCGATCGAACTCAAGCAACAATTGCTTCAAAACCAAACCCCTCCCCAAGAAACGCCCCTCCAAATTACCCCCCAGGAGACCTCCCTTTTAACCCCCCCTCAAGAACCGTCCGGCGAAGAATCCCCCCTGGATACAAATGCCCTCTTCCTCGCGCATTTTCACGCGTCGCAACCGAAGGGAGGGATATCTCAGAACGGCGCTCGGCGGAAAAACGGGAAGCCTGCCTTCAAGGGGCTGAAAGACGTGACGCCCCTCTTTAAGGATCTCACTGGGGAGATGTATTTCGAGGGTGCTTCCAAAGGGGGGGGCGCGTTCATTGCCATCGACGCTGGGAGCGTGCCCCCCCCTGCCACGGTGAATCGGGCGTATCTGTATATCTTCCAGCGTACTGACGGAGCATTTTACGTTGGCGAGGTGGGGTTTTGGCGAACCTTGCCAACTCTCGCATTTTGATGATGTGATGAATTTCTGTGGATTGAATAACACATCCCGCTTTGGAACAATCTGACTGATGACAAGATTGAACTTTTCAGATTCGTCTCCTTCATCCTTGCATCGCGAAATGGTACTGCTGATTCGGAAGCCCTTTCGTTGTTGATTTGTGAAGACACGGACGCATCTGCTTTCGAACAACTGCGAATTATGCAGTAGCGCGCTTTTGACAGTAGTTTTATCTCCTTGATACTCTTGCATAGCGAGAAATGATGCACTATTTCATCGTCATACACGAAAGCTCATGCTTCTACTCAGCTATGTCGTGCTTTGTCCCGCGATTGCCATCCGCTTGTAAGCACTACTCACGACTTTAACGGCAAGGAACAGTCAGCCCTTCACTTTCATGACAAGAGGGGGCCAGCCTTTCGCGTCCTCAACAAAACAATTTATAGTCCTATCTCATATGGACCAAGTTTCCACCTTGCCTTTTTGTTGATCCAAACTGGTCTGTCCATTTCTGACCCGCAGACGGACGATCTGAGGGGACGAGTCAAGCGGCACCGCAGCGTCAAACCCCCCGGAACCGCTCTCAACTTTTACGCCCTTCACTTGCCCGAGGGGAAGAGCCGGTCACGAGAACTAGAGGCGCGCCTCATTCGGAAGCTGAAGGACGCTGGAGTTCCGTTAGCGAACAAAGGAGACCAATACCACACCAAGTTTGGAGTGGGAATCCCAGCGGGGAATGGGATGGGCGGTAACGGTTTGGAATATGAGCCGCTGGTTCCGACGCCCATTGCGATCGAGCCGCCGTTCTAGTTGTGCCCACTTAGGGATTGACTGCCTAGTATAGGGAATGAATTGCCAAAGAGGCGTTAACGGTTTCGTGCGTGAGTTTCCGGTCTTGACGCCCATTGCTGTCAAGCCGCGGGTCTAGTTTCCTTACTACGTGAGTCTGAGGAAGCACGCGCAACACTACCGCAGGAGTGTCCAATCATGGGTTGAAGTAGGAGTGTCAAAAGCGACCATGCTTCGTATGTGAGATAGTTCTTGTCTTGGCATTCGCAGCCGAATATACACAGAGCGTTGAAGAGAACGAAGGAGAAGCCGTTCAAGGCCTGGAACTAGAAGCGAAAGTAAGAGAAGCAACGAGTCTTTTCTACCTAGTTGTAGCGTTCCATCAAACTGTTAGCCGTTACTGATCGAGTGAGCAGCAAGAGCCTGATGCAGGAAAAGAGACCGTAACCTCTCGAGATCTGAATCGGTGCGGGCTGCTCAATGATGAATTTAGCGGGCCTGAAGGACGTTTAATTATACATGATTGATCAGTCACTAGGATGCGCGGCAGCCTATGCAATAATTAAGTTAGTGGGTCTGACTGTCACTGTCACTGAAGAATGATTTGATGCCGCACAAGAATTGAATCACATGGCATATGCTTTGCTCGCTCAGTGCAGCTCAGTACTATAAGTCAGTGCTATACCAAATTACAGGAGCGGATTCAGAACGCGCTACGTACAGCTTAGTACTATATGGACTTGCGCCGGCGACTCAGCCACTGACAGCCGCCACGTACGTATGTATCAGACAGCCACCCTGTCAGCCTGAGAGTCTTGTGCATGTCCCTCACATGCAGGCTTCATACTGACAGTGACGTAGATGCGCAAATGAGGCTCACCAATTAAGGGCCGACCATCAATGGAAGCTTTGAGTTAATCATTGACGGCGGTCGTCCTAGTCGACCGGGACTTGGTATACGTCTAGAGTCATATCCAGATTCAATCTCCGGGGCCCGGCCCACATTGATATATGCGTGCTATTCAAGCCCGCGGCCACAATCGAATCAATCAATCACCAGCACCCGCCAGGCCAGTCTTCATGATCTTCAGTGTCATGTAACTCAGTTGCATGTGGCTTCTGAGAAGCTATAGCACGGCGACGGCCACGCTTGAGACTCAAAACCAGGTTTTCAATCTGAATAAGTTCGATCAATATATACCGCCGCTATAAGAAGCACAAATTGCCAGCTTATGATTTCTTGGCCGCAAGAGCGCGCGCGTTCTCTGTACCTCGGTCTCGATGTGCCCCAATCGTTCATCTATAGGCTATCATTCGGTTAGGATTCCTCCCCAATCATCTTCAACTGTACTGATTCAAAGCTGGCTGTATAGATTTACACGCAGTCTACTCGCAAGCTCCTACCTTTTCTGATTTGTGGCAACAATTTCGTTAAGAGGGCTTCTACCGTGCCGCTTCAAATCCCTACGCAAGCCACCTGTCGGTCTAGAGTCCTCTTGTTGGGCCAAAACTCCATTGATGGTGCGAATCTCTATGAACGGTGATCAACCATACCTATCTGAGCCGTCTATCGAACGGCTCCTCAGTGAGAGCGAAGCTCTGCGGAATACCGCGTCCTATATTCTGGCCGTGATCTGTTTTCAATCAGTCTTGCTTCCCCTAAAAGCTCGACTCTACTAACGTTCTGCCGCGACACCGCCAGTAAGTCTAACCCCCTGAAGTTTACGTAGTTAGGGCGGTTAACGTCGGCCCTAACTATCACGGCGCTGAAGCGTTACCGCGTTACAGCGGCTGGTCGTTGATGTGCTGCACGCGCGAAACGTCGTTTCGGGGCACGCGCGTCCGCACGACCATCCAGAAAACTTCCAAGAAGACGAAGGCAACGCTAACCACCACGAAACCGATCCACAGCAGGTTGAGTGACGTCTTCATGGGCGCGCAGTCGTACGTCACGACCTTGGTGAAGGTGACGTTGACGAACTGGCACGTGACGAGGTCGAAAAGCACGGGCATAATGATGATCACGCTCTGTGGGAAAAGAACGAAGTCACGTTAAAGTGGATTCTGTATCTGATGCTTGTGGCCGAGGATCTCGACTGAGGGGTTTCTCTCTAGCTACATGAGCTCCGGTTTGAACGATTTGCAGATGACGAAGACCGCTGTGAGAAAATGCCCTCTGATTGTCGAAGTCACCATAAATGTCCAAGAGAGTTCAGAGACTTGAAGTCCGTTTTATGAATCTGCTTTATTCAAGTCTTCGGCCCGCAATCGGACATGGGCGGAATCTTGGCACATTCTCAATCAAAAGCCTGGCACATTCTCAACCAAAAGCTTGGCACATTCTCAATCATGCGGTGACGACGCTCTTCCCAAATCGGTTTGCTCGAACGCGCGTTATCAGAGGCAAATGGAAGTGCGCTTACACACTCTAAAGAAAAAAGAGGGCGCATTCTCACCTCGGCAGCCCCGGTTGCGTTGACCATCTTGTTGAAGTCGGTGTTTTTGATGGGCTTGTGATTCTGGTCGCACGTCTGGCCGTCGTCAGTGTCGCACGCGAAAGCGGAATAGTTCTGCGGAAGGGGGGGGGCTTCACAGTCAGAAACCGGCTCTGGAGGGAACCCCCTGAATGCGGCTGATTTTGTTCTGGCCCGGAAGCGCACGCAAGAGGTTGTGTTGCAATGGAAAGGAGACTGAAGTGAGTTGACGTGGGTTATTATTGTTATCGAGATGCATGAGCTAGCAATGTATCATCTAAGTGAAGGTCAGCACGTCGCCCAACTCCCATGTGTGAAAGACGCCAAGCTGGATGGCACAGCGCTTACATTCCTGGTGATCAAAAAGGGCCCAAATTTTTTCATTCTGCTGGTAAACCTCAAACCGTATCTGAATGAAACTAGACTCTTTGGGTTCTCATGAGACATTCTCAGCTTTGAACTGCCCCGAGACTTCACTCCCTGCTTCGATGGGCTCCGTGCAAGTTGGGGTCGGAGATCGTGCCACAAGCGTCGCAAAAGCTCAATTGCTCTAAACGCCTGGGAAAGCCAAGAGCCCTGCTGACGTGACCTTTCTGCTGACGTTATATGTCTTCAACTCGCGGAATGTTCCGAGCCTTCCCTGGTTTGGGGGGCATGACGCGCGGTGTCGTAATCGGGGTAGGGCCCATAGGGGTCGCAACAATTGGGTGATACAAACACCCAGAAAAAGCAGAATCCATTGCTCACGTCATCTCTCCCTCACCTGACGGAACGTTCCGAGCCTTCCCTGGTCCGGGGGACAAGACGCGGTGTCATAGTCGGGGGAGGGGCCGTAAGGGTCGCAGAGGTAGGGGATCGCGCTGCCCGCATTGAGCGTCGGGTACCGGATGAGGGCCGCTGTGCGGGCGTCGTTTGCGTTCTTGATTCCGCCGTTCACCTGCGTTTGACAAATATAGAGCTTTCAGGTTTTTGACAGGCAGAAACTCGACAAATGGATGTGAGTGGAATTGCGCTTTCAGAATCGAGCGTCGGGTATCGAGAGAGAGGGGCCGTGCGGACGTAGTTAGGTTTTTTGATTCCGCCGTTCACCTGCGATGAGAATGTACAGCTTTGAGCTTTTGAAAGAATCTCAACGAGTACATTCTTGATTCCGCAATTCACCTGTACTTACAGGAGAACGCAGATTGAGGGCAACATAAAGAAAAAGGGGATTCGCGCGTCGGGTATCGGATGAGGGCGGCCGTACGGTCGTCGTTTGCGTTTTTCATCCCGTCGTTGCCCTACACTTAGGAAAACGCGATCAAAAAGTTCGAAAAGAGCGAGGAAGCAAGCCATGGGCTTGCGCTTCCGTCATTCAGCGTCCGAGTCGGAGTCAGACAGAAGATGGAAGGATGCAACATCTTCACAGTTTGTCATGAAATTCCCATAAACATTTGACGTTGCGGTGCTGCTCTTGGTTTCCGACTCCCCACTATTCCTTGCTTTTATGAAAGTGTCAATTTTTCTAAGAAACCAGTGGGAGCGCACCTGTGTTACCAGATTCTTGACCGACTGCTTGCCCTTGTTGAGTGCGTCGTTGGCGGTGTCTGTGTCAATGCACGGGAGAAGCTCTCCGAGGGAGCTGTTCCGGGAGTCGATCGTGTACGACTCCATGGCCTGACACGTGTCCGTAATCACGCTGCAAACACACAGTGACCGTGAGTCAGAAACAAAATTAACCGTTCGCAAGTCCGTGATTCATCTACCCCCGTATGTAAGAGTCGTAGTTTTGAAGGAAATCACGACAGACTTCTGAAGGGCTACCAATTAGTGCTTTCCTAAATGTTGCCCAAAACGTGGGTACAGATAAGAGAAGAGTGGCCGCAACAAAGACGGCGCCTACTGACAAGAAGGGCTGACAAGGAGCAGCGCGTAAGGAAGATGTGGGTCGAGTTATTCAGGAGACGCAGTTATATTATCTCATGTCAGGTGGTTCCGACCAGCAAGAGCGTTTCGAATCCACGGTTGGCGCTATCTCCAAAAAAGCCCTTCTTTGTCAAGAGAAAAGTGAACTAGAGGAGAGCACCAGAACAAAGGAGTAGTTCGAACTGTTCTCTTACTTGTCGAGCATGAAAGTGATGCCGAACAGCAGCCACGTGAAGAAGAGTATGATGAGGGCGACCACGAAGAGTATCATCAGCAGCGGCCGGACGCCCAAAACCGTGCTCGCGAGCCCCGCGACGGAAAGCGCGAGCACGATCGCCGCGATAATGGTCAGCGCGAGCTTCCTGCGACGGGACAGCATCTAGGGATTGGGGAACGGGCTTAAGCGTGCGCGCGCGGTTTAGCGTGTACATTCAACGGATACTCGGCGATCACATGTTGTCAAGTAGCTTCAAACGGGGTTTCTCGTTTCTGTGCTGCGGACACTGGAAGAAGGAACGGAACGACGGAAAAGAAGGACTATAGAGCAGAACTGTACGGTAAAATGGAAGAGAGGACTCCCCGTGATAGTCCCCTTTTGTCGAGGTCTTTGTCCGCTCTTTTTCCTCTTGCACCGTCAAAGCTGACGGGGGATGGCCGAAACGTTTCCGGCTTGACGGGATGTCGCAAGTATCACAAAGACGCCGGAATAAGGTGCGAGGAAGAGAGCAAAGCGGAACACATAGATTTTGTCGAAGTAGCCGTAGACTTTGTCCTGGTTATCCTGCACCGTCAGATTGACGCAAGCGAGCTGAGTGCTCTGGGAGGAAGTACAGGAAGGAAAGCCGCAGAAAAGACGTCGAGCAGATACGGCGGAACGAGGAGCGACGGAAGAGCGGAGGAACGGAACCCTCACACTCTATCGAAGTATCTGTAGACTTCGTCTTTGTTATCGTGCACTGTCAGGAAAACTGCCCTCCAATACGTCAAGTCGCAAAATGAATTTTGAGCAAATACGGCGGAACGCCGCAACGAAAGAGCGGAGCAACGGAGCGCTTACACTTTGTCGAAGTAGCCGTAGACTTTGTCCTTGTTATCCTGCACCGTCAGATTGACGCTGGTCGTTGCGTCCTGCAGACCCTTGGCGGCATCCATGACGGCACTGCTGCCGGACTTGTCGTCGAGCGCCTGCGTCGCGTTCGTGAGCGCGGCCGCGACCTGCGCGGGGTTTTAGAGGTTTAGAATGAGGGATTTGATCAGTATGGACTTGTCGTCGAGCGCCTGCGTCGCGTTTGTGAGCGCGGCCGCGACCGGCAAGGAACGCGGGGAGTTGGGGGTTTAGTCTTCGGTCCGACAGGCAGTGTTGTCTTCGAGCATCGCGTTTGTGAGCGCGGCCGCGGCCTGCGACAGCGCGGGGTTTTGAAAATATAGTCTCCAGATTGGGAAGAAACAGTGCTGACGGACTTGCCGTCGAGCGCCTGCGTCGCATTTGGGAGCGCGGCCGCGACCCGCGAGAGCGTGGGTATTTGGGGGATTGGTCCTTTAAAACAAGAGACATGACTTTACGACGTTTCGGGGTGGTTGAGTGAATGGTAGGGTTTTAGGTAAGGATAAGTGCTATCTGCCCAATACGAGAGAAGCACCTCGTGTTCCAGACTCGTGTCCGCCAAACCGCGTATTTCAACGCAGCTCTATGCCCAAGGGATGTTGCGAGTCAGGATCTCGTCGTACATGGGCCATTGTGAGAGGCTTGCTCCGAGATTTCAGCACCGATCCAGGGATCTGACGGCGCCATGTGGTTCATCACGTCAGCATACATTCCTTGCGGTTATCAGAGTTCATAGGTGACGTAACGATTGCGTCAATTGGACTATGGCTGACTCACCTGATCCACGTCGACCTTGATGTCAGCGACGGCGTTGATGATGGTGGAGGTGGTTCCGCGGAGGGAGGTGCTGAGCTTTCCGTTTCCGGAGTACACCACGACGGCGCCGGAACTGCACCAGGGTGTTTTACAGAGTCAGAGTTCTTGATCACCATTTTTTGTCACAATATCGAATCCGGATTTCAACGAAACAGCGGATCCAGTGCTCGGGGAGCTTTTTCCGAGGCGTTGGTTACTTTGTTCGAATTATGGTGAAGGTAAAGAAACACTTGAACCGGTCCACTCGAGAAGAAAACAATCAGTACATAGAGCAGGCTGACGGATACTTACTGAAACCAGTCACAGTCAAAATCACAGCTGTGTCATGTGAGCAAGATCGACAGGGCAGAACACAGTTTACGGTTCCTAGAGAGTGATGTAAGTAAAAGCCGAGCACTCACATAGCCAGCAGAGTGTAGACGAGCACCAAAGCCTTGGGCCACAGGCGCGCGGTCAGCGTATACTCGACCGGTTTCTTGTTCCGGCCGGAGCAGCAGCAGGCGCAGAAGCACTTGAAGAGCAGGTACAGGATGCCGACGAGCAGGGAAATGATGGCCAGGGCAAAGCCGTAGACCCCGGTGAATACCACCGACTGCAAGAGAAGAAAAGCTGGGTCAGTCTCTTCGTAGCTCATAGAGTAAATTAGCTTTGAATGAGTTGGATTCTTCTAACTCTTGAGAGGATCTCGTCAGCAGGGAGATGATGGCCAGGGCAAAGCCGTAGACCCCGGTGAATACCACCGACTGCAAGCGGAGGACTTGATAAGTTTCTCCATGTCTCACTGTTGTTTTTTGTCTAGTTGGTTATATCTTGAGGTCGTCTTGAGGAGCCCATCTGTAGAAATTTGTTAGCGAGGACGAAGCTGTAGACCCGGTTAAACGTCTCCTACTGCAAACGGGGGGTAAGCGGATCTGTTTTCCCTTCTCCTGAATACGGTATTTTTGGGGACTCTCAGTTTGCTTTAACAGCATCTAGATGATAGGCAGGGCAAAACCGTAGACTCCGGTGAATGTCACCGAGTGCGATTGCGGGGTCCTGCTTATCGGTTTCATCTACACTTTGCGACTTTCCTGAATATTCTTTTGGCCTTCAGGAAGCCACCAGCCGAGTGACAATGAACAGGTCGAGCCACAGACCTCGGCGAATATTATCAAGTGCACCCAGAGAAAGGACCGTCTCTCGTCTTACGCAATATCATCCAAGCGTCGACAACCCTTCCTTAGGCCCCCCCTTATCGCACACTGCTGGTGTAAAACAGGCTCGCAGAGGAATGGCAAACTAGGTGTTAGATCCCATAACAACGGACGGTTCCCTCAGGCCTCATCTAGTCCTTTCGTACCTCCTTCTTTTGGCCTTCGATCTGAGTTCTGACTTCTCTCTGAGAGACAATTCGAGAAGCAACCCCTCACTCACCGCCCAGTAGTGCATGTCGGTGACGTCATACCCCCCCTCGTACTTCTTCATCCCATTCGTGGGATCCACCCTCGGCGTGATCGCCAATGCCGCCGCCGCGTGCGCATTCGCCGCATCGATGAGTTGTTGCTGGTAGATTGAATCATTCGTCGCCAGGAGGGTTCTCCGCACAACCCCGTGCTGACCCGCCCACATAACCCGGCTGTTTACATCCTCCGCTTGGTAAGCAAGGGCAGGACCCAACGTTAGGAAGAAGACGAGGAGCAGCGACGCCGCTGCGGCGCCGGATCGGCCCGCCATTGTTGCGGTGTGGCCTGGGAGTGACGCCCTCGTGTGAGGGTTGTAGTTAATCTCAAAGGTTGCAACAAGGGCTCCTCTTGCTCATGATTGAGAAGCCAAAATCCTCCTTATACTAGATTCTCAAACGCATTTCATGAATATGTACACTCAGACTCCGAAGTACCGCATAAGACGCTCCTTCGCGACTGCTTTAATGTAACAAACGCAGTCGCACCAAACCACGCCCAAACCACGGGACTTGCTATTGCGGAAATATCACGCTCCTTTCGAGTGCACAAATGCCGATATTTGAGTCTCTCGTAACGACCCAGGTTAAACCCAGCATTTGGTAGACACGCCTGATGTTCAAATGTGAGTCATCGTAGTCTGTTCCTGCACATTGGTCCAGGTAACTTTCAAGTTCCATTGCTTTGATCGTACAGATTCCTACTTTGTCAGTCACATCCGTACAATATTACGCCAGGCTTGCACGCATAGCGGTCACATGCTTAGACTGATAGCCTGATCCACCCTCCAGGCTCCCCGAATCAGCAGCTCTTTACTAGACTGTACTTGATTGTGTGCCAGTCAGATGGTTGCAAACTCAAAAGAGTTGGTACCGAAGATCTTGCAGTCACATGCAGCTCCTAACGCGAGCTTGTGTGCCTCCAACCTCATATCCGGTATATATCTACAGAAACACATACGTCCTAGTGATTAACCTGTTCTACAGTCCTTCTGCAGGTATATTCTCTAAAAGGCACAATAAGCACGGGTGACCTGGGCGAAACTCAAACCTAGTAGTGTATCACTTGAGTTGGCTGACTACGACGGTCTCAGACCGTGCGTAATCCTGTGAATTTTACACCGGAAGTACCGCACCCTTTAGAAATATGTACGCTGGTTACAAAGTACGGTGTACATGACTTCATCCAAAGTTTATACGACCATTACCAGCTGATAAAGAACTTGCGCGCGCAAGTAGAGTATAGTAACTTCTAAGCCGTCGAAACATTTTCTCTTTGTGTATCCTGACCGTCCAGATGAAGGGCTTCGTTGGCAGGTGAAACAAGGGAGTTCAGGGGGCTTGGAAAGGCATTCTCAGGACCCCCCTATGTGTCTATGTTACGAGAACAGGGAGTGCCCCGCGCGAGATTTGCCCAAGTGTACATATTGAGACTGCATTTGTGACACACGCAAGCGAAGCTGTCGATCTGCAAAAATGACAAGTGGCCTAGACGATGCTTGCGGCTAACGTCAGGCCGAGCTTAGTGTTATGAGTCACGTCTCCAACTCAAGCTGGCTCGGCATATGTAGGTATCAACCATTCGCCGCACTGAATCCTGGATCAGTAATCATGAGCTTGATGTCAGATGTTTGGTGCCCCTCATGATGCGACTGCTTTGAAGTTTGAGAAATAGGACCTATGTGTCCTGGGTTATTAGGACTACTTTGACTGGACGCTAAAAGTTGTTTCGAGAAAAGGGAATGCATTTTCGTAGCTGAATGCGAACACATTCCACAGCATTGCAGACTGGGTGATCCAACTATCTTGCAATCGTTTTCAGCAGCGCTGGAATTGCCAAACATCCAGCTACAGCAGCGCACTTGCCCATTGGAACCACAACTCAACAAGCCGTGATTACCAGCTCGGCGCCTTTGTTCCACTGTTTGACCTATCATAGTATCAAGAGCATACTTGCGTCCATCAAGCATCCCAGTACAGCACTTACAATATTCTTACACCTCAGATTGAAGATGAACAAGCTCAAGCAGGTCCTGAAGGGAGGCAGCAGCGCCGACCAAGGTGAGAAACTCCAAATTCAAGCTGTGCACAATGTATGCCAGTGGGATGCCATGCAATTGCTTGTTCGATGAATTGCTGAGCTTGGATCATCTGTCAATTCGAAAGGACCATAAGTTGTCCATTTATAGTTCTCTCTCTCCATGAAAGGTTCTCTCTTTCAATCACTGCGGAGCTTGGATCGGCATCTGCAATTCAACTCGAATGAAACACGAGATGTTCAATTGGGATTCCATGATGATACAAACCCGGAATGACAAGACAAAGAGATGTACTATTAAAGCCAAATGGAGAGCTGATAAACTCCTACTTGAATCAAGTTGGGTCGATGTTTCTCACAGCTCGCAAGTGATTCCAATGCTGGAAGCTACTCAGTGCATTCTAATGACATAGCCGAAAACTAGGAAAGCTGGTTGGAATTGCTCAGTATTGGGTCGAAGAGCGGTGTCATGTCCGACAGCTGCTTTCTGAAATTGGTATTGCCCAAACTGCTTGACAATTAGAACTAACATTCAATGTGTGAAATATTCTGCTCCATGCAAGGACCTCGGTTGTGAGGTTGAAATCGTGAGCATAAATGCAGAGAATTAGGCTCAGTGTATTAGTGGATTCACGTGTCACATTCAACCCTGTCCAGGTTATGACAATGCCGGGGGGGTGGGCACTGGCTCTAACATGGAGGGGGGCACGATGGGAGGGGGCATGGATCAGGGGGGAATGGGTGGAATGGGTCAGGGAATGGGGGGTGGAACAGATCAGCAGGGGGGCATGGAAGGAGGAATGGGGCAAGGAATGAACGGGGGAATGGGGCAGGGAATGGGTGAAGAAATGGGCCGTCAGGGTGGCATGGGGGGGGAGTTTAACCAGGGGGGCATGGGGGGGGGGTATGGGACAGGAAGGAATGGGGGGGGGCATGGGAGGAGGAATGGGCCAGGGGGGTATGGGAGGGGGGGGAATGATGGGAGGGGAGAATCAGGGAGGGGGTGGCATTGTGGGGGGGATTGAGAGGGCTGCAGTCAACGCAGGGGAGAAGAAACTGTTTGGAGGCAACCAGGGGGGGATGGGTGGAAACTACTAGGTATGGCGTCTGCTGCATGAAACGAGCTTGACACCCTGCTGTTCGGCGCTAGTCCCTGCTTGCATGTTTCCAAGCGTTGTCTACGTTCTGACTAGCATTCATTCCAGCCTCATCCTTTCATACGAAAGTGAGTGGCCCTTTTGCTCTGTGCCTTTGCGCGAGTGCTAGATTTTGAGGTCCACTGGCCTTCACTTCTCAACCGACTGCAAGTCCATGCTCCTCACTGGATCTTCCTTGTCAAGTTAACCCGGACCCTCTCTTTCTTGTCCCTGTGCAGGCAATTAGTCTGCAAGCTCGGCTTTCGTGTACTGTAAAATATGTATCATAAGACTTTTGGTGTTGACTTGCGCTTTATAATGTTGCATATACACAGTTCAGCTAGCCTTTCAATGCACATCTTTCTCCCAAACTTTCTGCCTTTAAATGCTAGGAGTCCTGACAGAATTGCGTTTATAGAGCTCCATACCTGCATTTGAGTTGAAGCACCCGGGCACTAATGTTCGTTGCCACCATCTGCAAAGCAACTCTCCTTTTGGACATGTCCATTGAATGCCAAGGAGAAGACGCGCAGCACAATGGTACCCAGACCGACATACAAAGACGGTCTGGAATAGATTTACCAAGAAAGCTGAACGGGGATGATTCGTTGAATCGTGCAGACTGTGTTTACTTCGTCCTGTAAGCCGGTTCAATCATTCGCTTACCCTTTATTCAACTCTTGATCCAGTGCCGGGCACTAAATCGTGCTTAACTTGCTTATCCACTGGGCCATATATGCATATATCACATCACAAGCTAGTGCATGCGCCCTCGTCGGATTCGTTTCAGGAGGAGCTTGAGCTACATGCAGACGGTCCGGTCTGAGTGAGAGCGAATCAATTAACGACTTACTACTCATGTGGAAGTTTGTACTCATGGGTACGGTCTGGATGCTGATTGCGTACTGGGCCCTCGCACGACTCACAGGCTGAACCCAGAACCGCGATTGTATGGTAACTTCGATCGTATCAGTATAAGATAAGCGGTGCCAGCATAGCTTTGAACAATACATACATATATGACGGCGCGTTGTAACAATAGATTATGCTGGGGCCAGCGTGGCTCTGGCAATGATGTAACCAAAAAGCTTATAATGTGAATCCATTCCTTGCCAAGTTGTAGCAGCGCCGCAAATCGGACCGCGGTCCTACTAGCGCAGCTAGTGCTGGAATCTGTTGAATTGAGTAATTAGTTTCTAAGTTTTGAAAATCCAGTACAGCTGTTGGTACGTTGCATGGGCAGCCACGCGATCGAAAGGCATGAACGAAAAGTACGGTCTGCCGAGCCTGGCCCTGTATGTACCGTCTACTCACTGCGCAAGCATTCAACGATGCGCATGGTGACCCCCTCGAGTCTGCATGAATCGATCGAATCACTTTGACGACGACCCGAGCACAGGCTGACATGCCATGATGATTCCCTCGATCTTTCAATGCCTTTCTTGACCGGCCTCGGCTCTGAGACTGGAATTCAAACACTTAAAAATGCAGCAGGCTCTGCAAAGACACTGACACGGGCCAAACGCTCTGGTTGGGACTCAACAATCGTGTTCAAGGGATGCTATAAGCGACTTGTTCAAGTGGTCACATGCGCGCGACCGGTACACCTCGGCTAAATGGCGAGCGTTCAAATGATCCTTAATGGTCTATGTTTTTATTAGTTTACATTCGTCGTTACGCGTTTGTTTGTTCTTGACACATACACTCTGGCACCGGATTGCCCATAACTTCCACCCCACTGCGTTGCAGGGGCTGCCCGTAAATCGTAGCTTTCTTGGCTAGAGTCTTGAACTCCTTCCAGGCGAGAGTCCGCAATCTCGCACTTTCCCATAACGGGTACGTCAACGTCCTCTTGAAGCCGAGCCAATTCCTATGACCTGCAAGGTGGTTAAGAGACTATTCCTCAGCAATTAGGAATGTGTATGCAGATGGCAAGGGCTAATTGGATTGGCAAGCGTGCGAGCAAGTCCATGAATCGACAAAGACAGGACTTGCCTGATCAAAACTTGTTTGTTCCCTGCGTAATTTCCTGGCTGTGCTAAAAGGGTTCACAGGGAAAGATGATCGACGTAGCAGGCTGTTTGATTTGCATTTGCTCTGTCAACTTTGTGTAAGGACCAGTGAGTAGACCCAACATTCAAATCCGAAAGCGAACTCTCAAACGATCTTAAGATCTACGAGCACGGTCAGTCGACCGAGGTCGCCTTTGTTCTGCGCACTGCAGAGCACTGATCGAAGAGCTTCAAACAGCTTTTCAGCACATTCGCTACGGGAACCACCGCCCTTAAGACTTTCAAAAGCTCAGCACACGACGTCTTGATGACGTCAGTTTTTCACCTGTCACAATGACGGGGAATCATTTACAAGTCAACGCACCTGAAATTGATGACTTCATCATGCCGTGGAACGTCAGCGCCGTGACGTCAGCGTTCACCAGCACCTCGAAGTCGATCCCCGCTAGGATGTTGTTCTTGCCCTTCAGAAGAGCGGCCTCCTCCGGCGTGAAGAGGTCCTCCTGGCAGCGGACGAAAAACGGAATATCGAAACGGATTCACATTAAACAGAAACTTATCTGGACCTCCTCCGGCGTGAAGAGGTCCTCCTGGAAGCAGGCGGGAAATGGGTTATCAAATAGGGTTCAAGTTAAACAGAAACCTATCTGGACCTCCTCCGGCGTGAAGAGGTCCTTTTGGAAGCAGGCGGAAAACGGGTTATCAAAGAATCAAAAAGTAATCACGCCAGTTCTCACAGAATCAAGTTTGAGACCTGACAAAAAGTAAGGACCTAATGAAAGTAAGGAACGATACTCTCAAGAGCACAACGTCTGGGTAAACAGGGTCCTCCTGCGAGCATTCGGAAGTGGGTCGTCGCACGTCCTCTTTTATTACTCGCTTGCAGACAATCTGTCCAAGAAGACAATCACGTATATTACGATTGGGCGACTGTGCAATTTGCCACAAGAGAAGAACCACGCATTTCTATAACACAGGCTGCAAAATTAAGTAGTTCTCTGAGCCTCGCAACTTCGTGTGGCCCTGCTTTGATTGGACGAACCGTCTGCCTGGGTCGAGCCCGTTCAAAAGGAATCCTGACATCCTTTGTCCATTCTCGTCACCGCCGGAACACTGCCAGGTCTCTTTGTTCCTTGGTCGAACGATCCTCAGCGCAAAATCTTGACGCTAGATTTAATGCATGTGACAATCAGAGACGTGAACAGTTACTGAAGCTTGAAGGCACCATCTGCTGGAGCTTATACCCCTGAAATACTGGCAAGAAGAGCCCACCTTTCTGACGGTGTTCGGAAACATGTCCATGAAGTCAGGCATGAACACGTCTTCGTGGTAGATCGCCCCGGACGCAAGGTATACCTGCAAAAAATAGCCCACAAATTCGTTTTGAAAATCCAAAAAGAGAAAAAGTGTGTCAAAACTCCATATCACAAAAACGTGTCACTTGGGCAAACTTGATACCGTCACATGTCTATGAGACACGACTCGGTGTCAACTCTGATCCAGTAGCAAATGTTTGGGTACCAGGTGCTGCTCGCAGACTCTTGCACGAAAAGACAAGAGCAAACTCTAAATGATCAACTAAACGCCGAACTTCCAAGCTCAAAGCCACCTCTGGGCATCCCATCGACCCCAAATACGATACCAGAAAAGACTTGGCACATACTTTCATGAGACCGACACCTTCTGATTCAAACGAGCAAATCGGTGTCAACTCAATTCAATGAACTTGGTGCGTACATCGCCTGCAACCTCCCCCAATGTTGCCGGACCGCGCTTCTGAAAATAGTTGGCACAATCGCTGAACCACAGAGGCATGACAAACCAAAGAAACTCGCTGGTGTCAAGTCACCGGCGAGACTCGTTGAAACCCATTGCCTGCAGCAACCGCCCGACCTCCCCTGGCATCGCCAGAAACTGCTTCTGACAGACTCGACACTCTCACTACACTGAAAAGACAAACGTGACAGGACAAAATGAAAGTGTCAAATCACCTGCGTCGATTCATTAAAACCCATCGCCTGCAGCCACCGCCCGACCTCGCCCGGCGTGGCCGGGCACCGGCCCTGACCCCGCATGACGTCATCCGGCTCCGGTTTCGGCCACCCTCGCACCTCCCGCTGCTCGTCCCAGTACTTGATCTCCTCCGGTTCGTTGATCCCGTATTCACACCGGGCGGAATACATGACCATGTCCGTTTCGAACCGGAGGTGGAGGGCCAGAAACGGCCCCTTGGCCTTCTCGCGCATGCGCGCGACGAGGCGCTGCGCGGTGGAGACAATATGGGGGTGGAACTTGAGGGCCTGGTACTTGGCGCGGCAGCGCAGCTTCTCGAGGGGGGGGCGGAGGTAGACGTCGAGCGCCGTGAAGAAGCTGTACGACTTGGTAACCTGGTAGGGGAACAATTCACGATTAAAGGCGGTCTAAGAACATAAACACGCCATGCAAAAAGAATATGCAGGTTGTAAGAGGGGCGAGCGCAGCTTCTCGAGGAGGGGGCGGAGGTAGACGTCGAGCGCCGTGAAGAGCTGTTCGACTCCGTAACCTGCAAGCGGAGTTCACCAAGTTATGCAAGAAGAAAGCTCTAGTACGATGGGGTCTCCAGAGCGTCTCGAACGGGGGGGCGGAGGTAGACGTCGAGCGCCGTGGAGAAGCTGTACGACTTGGTAACCTGCAATGGCGGGTATGAAAACGGTCTAAAGTATACTCGCACCAAGGATCGGAGGGCAAGAGGATCAGCGGGGCTTACTCGAGGAAGGGCAGAGATAAATGTCGAGCGCGCTGAAGAAGCTGTACGACTTGGTAAGCTGTGATGGGGAGAGATTCAGGTAAGGGGAGTAAGCTGGCGGAGGAGATCTTTTAGCAGAGACACAAAACGGGTTAAAAGTCAAAGAAAAGCACATCGACAGGTGCTTTACGGAGGTACCCACGGGAAATGGTGCCGACGAACCACTTTTTCGGCACGCAAGTGGTAACAAGTATGGCACTGCACAAGAAGTGTACGTCTCCGAAGATGCACGAGACGTACTGACACCCGGAAGGGGGTCATAACACCGCAAGGGTTTCGTTCACGTAACAAAATTTTTTGATTTCAGCAGGCTAATCCTCCCGCTTAGAGGTGCTGCTTCGTACCCAAGAAAGATGACATAACTGGGTTAGGAATTAGGAAAGCGCTTTGGAACGGGGGAGGTTAGTTTGGGGATCACGATACGGAGCAACTACTTTTTAGGGTTAGTTTGGGGGTAAGAATGCGGAGCAGGTACTTTTTAAGGTCGGGGTTCTGCGTGTTCGTCGAGAGCGCGTCGTGAAAGTCCGCCGACGTGTGAACGTAGGCTCTCTGGTCAATCTGCCGGTAGTACTCATTCCTTAAGGCACCTGGGATTCCCAGATTCTGCGGTGCCTGGAAAGACTGCACAACTAGAATCTTTCTTCGATTCGAAGGGGTTTAAGCTCACCTGATCCGGTGCAAACGAATCGTAAAACTTGCTGACGTACTGGTCCTCTCGCCCGTAGGGTATCCGGTCGATGATCTTCCAAAAGTACTCGTTGCGCATCTCCTCGCGATCCGGCAGCTCGGATACGGTGACAACCCGAATGTCGTCAGCAAGGGTCCGACGGAAGTGGTCCAGGTCAAAAATGGTAGTGAAATTGCTGCACGGAGGAGAAAAGACTGGGGATGGTAGAAGAAACTAGAGCGAGATACTTTGGATCAGTTGGATGACAAGTGGGGGACGAAAGTTACCAGCGAAAATGGTCCAGGTCAAAAATGGTCATGAAGTTGCTGCACGCAGGGGAAAGGACTGGGGATGATTGATGTTCTGACAGAACTAGAGCGGGACTTTTTCTAGACCACTTGAGTCAGAAGTAGGAAAGTAAAGTCTGCAGCGAAACTGGTCTATGTCAAAAATGGTCGTGAAGTTGCTGCATGGAGGAGAAAGGACTTGGGATGTTTGATTTCTAAAGAAACTAGAGCGGGGACTTTCTGGACCAGTTGATTGACGACTGGGGGACGCAAGTGACTAGCGAAAGTAATCCGGGTCAAGAATGGTCGAAGCGTTGCTGCGGTTATAGCAAAGGCCTAAAGACAGCTGGGCCACTCGCAGACAAATTGGATCACAGCTGGCAGAGAGACTGAGAAACGCAACACGCAGAACAGATTTCAGGAGATGAAGCCGACTAAGATAAGGGGAAGGAGTGGGAAGCGGTACGTACCTTCCGTCCTTCCAGTACGGGTCTAGGCCTAGCTGCGGAATCACTAACGTTACGTTGAGTATCCGGGCCACGGCTACCGAGTTGGTAATCTGCAGAAAGTACAGAACAAGTGTCGATCTGACGTTGGACTGTGCTTACAGTTAGTCAGTTGAAAGCTCGTGCAGGCTCAGAGCGCGATCGGCCTTACTAATGAATGACAGCCCCTGGCTTGCACTACGCGGGTTATGGTTTTTGGTCTCTCTCTAAGGAAAGTGATTAGGATAGAGATGCTTTCCTGAGAAAGTGTGCTTACATCTGGTAAGATGAATGCACACAGGAAGGATCAATCTGGTCGGGGCTCGGGGTGGGTGCGGAGATGCAGAGCGTAAAAAGGTCAAGGTCGCGGACTCAGCTGTGTGCGAATGTGTGGTACTGATTGCAAGCGAAAACGGACGTGTCGGCACAAGGTGGAGAATCACAGAATCCTATTTTCGTCAGAGGGCACACAGACCTATCCCAATGGAAAAACGTGGAAATAGACGTTGGAGAATCATGAGCGCTCTTGCAAATGAGAACACCGTTTTGATTTGGCAAGCACGGCCGCTGGATTTGTGTTGCCAGATCAGGACGTTTGTGCACGGCGATCCGACAGAGATTGATAGGATGTCCTTTCAGCTCACATAGGCGTCTGGTGCAATTACGCGTTTTCAAAGGAGGTTATTTACTGGGGATGAATGCTCCTACATACACTTTTCCATCTTGCAGTAGCTAGACACGGCAATGTACTGGGCTATCTTGTGTTGGCCCGTAGAGACTAACAGGCAATCAGCAAAGATGGCCTCACAGCAAAAGCGGGCTTTCAGTCCTCGTGCGTTGTCGGATCTCTTGGCCCAGTTGGTCAAGAAGCGGAAAGCACGACAAAGAGGGCAAGCAACATTTTTGACAGGTGGCAGATGCGCACCTCAAATATCTGTTGAGAGAGGCCCCCGTCCAAGCCAGGGTAAAAGTATCCGCGCCCCTCGACCTTTGGAGGCGCTGCAAATAGAAGGAGGACAACGGGTTTGAGTTCATTCCAGCAAAAACGTTCAACGGTCTCAACAGACCACCGCACCAGTGGCCTCTTTGGGCAGCAGCTTGCTGGACCCAAGATTCAATATTAGAAGACAAACAAAGCTTTGGTTAAAATAACCTGTTAACACTGTCCTCTGGAACTTCAGAGAATCCAAGCAATGCCTTATCGCCGCTACAATCTCATGTTTGTCATTACGCCCTGGAAGAAGACAGCATCTTTACCAAAATTTGATTCCATTACATGCGTGCTTGGATCCAGGATTCCGACTCGTTCGAGATTAGAGGAATTCGCGAACAGCAAAGGATTGTCCAGAACTCGATATGAGACAAGTGAGAGGTTTCAAAAGAGGCGAGATTCTATAGACATACCTGGCCAGTCTGTTCCCCTTTCAACACACTGGTGGTATCCCTCGTCTGAGATCGGGTTCCAGATCTCCGGCAGGGAGTTGAACTTCTTCTGCATGGGACAAGGGTTTCGATCAGCTTTCAGAAAACTGCGGGTTTTCTTCAGATTCAAAGTACTATGCGTTTCTCCTTTGAGCGGGACCTCCTATAGTGGCCAGGTCCAAAGCTGAATCAATTCTTTGTCTACACTCTGATAGAGCTGTAAAAGACTAGTCACTTGGAGTCTTGATGACGTTGTCCAGGTGTCCAGAGGACGTTGTTTGAGTATTCAAGCGGGGGACGAGTAGAAGCAAAGACGGCCAGATTCCTTCATTCCTCAATGATCCAAGCAAGCAGACAGGCACAACATAGACGTGGCTCATTTGCAGCATCCACGTGGTTATGGGCAGCAGTAATACCCCATGTTTGCACCAATGATGCTTCATCAGAAAAATTTCAGAGCAGCACGCAACCCTGGGCATGTCAAATGCAGCATTGCAACCGCCTTCAATAAGGGCATGTCCAGTTGTCTCTCAAACCAAGCTCTTTTGGACAACACTATCAATGACTGATGCTCCGAATGCAGTGGCGCTCTAATATCGAGCGGGCTTTGATGCACGTTGGTTTCGGCCACAACAACAACCATTGGATACAACCACACGGAGAATCCTGCATGACCAATCTACTCTCCCTTGTTGTCAGACAGAGCAGAGTCAAGGAGGATCAGTCATTCTAGGACCAAGACCGAGGATAGTGATAGAAGTACTGATGTAGCAAGTTTTGGGGTTTCACCAGGGGCTTTCGCAGCTATTGATTGGTCAACCGATACCAAGACCAGGCATTTTTTGCTGAAGCAAGAAAAGCCAGCCATGTCACCCCTTCCAAAAGCATCCCCAACCCCGGTCCCAGAAATTCTTACTTTCTTCAACCCCATTCAGAAAGAAAGCAGATCCTCACCCCTTTCTTTTTCCTCGGCTTTGCCGCCGCTGCCCCTCCCCGTGCATCAGCCCCTCCCTCGCTCTCTTCATCCTCATCATCCCCTGTCCCCAATTCTGCAGCTTTTCCCTTCTCCCCACTCTCGTTACTAGCTTCTTCCCCAGAGCTTACAGCGTTCGCTGTCGCCCCGTGCAACTCCTCCGGCAGCTTGACCGTCGCCGCCAATAGCTTATTGGCCTCCGCCTGCTTTCGCAGCTCCGCCACCACTTTCTTCAGTACCGGGGTGCTCTCATTTCGGCTGCCCCCCCGGAGCAGCGGCGCTGACGTCAGCGCCACGTCTGTGCCCGCCGCCCCAAACGAAACATTCTTGCTTGCCGCTTTAGTGCTCGAAGGCTCCCCTTTTACACCCGACTCCGCATCGGGCTCGTCTCCTGCGCTCCTCTGCGCACTTTCTGACAAACCCCGTTCCGACTCCATTTCCCGCCCCTGCAACCGAAGGGTGTCATCCCCAGCCTCCGTCTGCGTGCTCGCCCGCGCGCCTAGTTCGCCAGCCCCTTGCCAGAGATCCCCGTTCTGTGACGCCTCTTCATCTCCGCTGCCACCACTGTCCCTATCTAGTTGCTTCTCATCTGACTTTGCTGAGTCCGACTTACTCTTACTGTCCAACTGTTTGCTGAAGAACCAGTTTGTGAAGTCGCCAGCACTCCAATCCGCTGAGGACAGCGTGACAGGATCGCTGGACTCCTGAGTGCCGTCGCGGGACTGCTGCCGAGAGAGGCGCTTTGCGTGCGGGAAGATGGAAAATTTGGAGATGTAGTCTCCCTGTCACATCGGAGAAGTCCGTAGTCAGCTGAAACAGGCCATTTGCGAGGACGAGACCTGCTACATGTGATTTTGTTATTGAACCACGGCAATTCCAACGAGAGACGCCCTATCCAACTGTCCAATGCATTCCTGCATAGAAGGCCTCAGCCTGGAAGGAAGCAACCGGGCCTTCATGAGCTCAACACGGAAGCGACCGGTGCTTGTCCAATCGACTGTTTCAAGCGATCGAGGTGTTTCTGCATTAGGTGCACCACAAAGCTTGTGGCACCTTCTTTTGAGAGGACGTTGCAAAACCAACTTTTCAATGTAAAGAATGTGATCCGCCACTGTCTTTTGGGTGCGACGACAACAGATGGGGCCTTATGAAGCAGGCAACCTTTCACTGCACTTCAGCATAGCCAGGGTGGTGAGATTGTCATGCACGCAAACGAGCTGTAGCAATATAAGTGGTGCATTGATGAAACAGGCAGAGGCGCCCGCATGGCATCAGATCTCAGATCTGCAAAAATGGTGTCAACCCCCGCACTCTGAGCAGGCGTTCGCCCCAAACCGGTGAAGGATTGATATGTTACCTGGAGAGGTGGATGCAACTTCACAACAGCCACATAGTAACTGAACAGAGTGAAGAGGGTAAACACGAGCAGGAACCCCACTCGTCGGCAATAAACCCTCTCTCTAGAGGGCCCCCGCAGAGATGGCAACCGAGCTGCCCCCTTGACTTCATCGGAGGAGGCCTCCGGGGTTTTCACATTGGTACGCCGGGCGGCCTTTTCCATCCTCAAATGCAGAGCATGCTTCCTAGATCAAGGATCAATCAAGGTCTGGACTTCAGAGGCCAGCGTCTCGAATCGGCCTCAGAGGGATCCCGCATCACAGGGACGACTTTCTTACAATCAAAGGTCTGTAATTTCCAGAGGAACATGCTCACTGCAATGACCAGCTTAATGCACCTTTACTGCCAAAGCCGAATCTGAGCCCCCTGTCCTCTGCCATACTAGGTAGATAGAAAGATGGGCCCAAAAGCAAGAACTTTGGTCAGACAGGAACTTTCTACTGCAGACAGTCTAGCCTGTCTAGGATCCTCAAGATAATTCCGTATTGCTATGCAGTGGCGCAATGCAGGAGTGAACTCCACATATTTCTCTTCATTCCCTTGATCGAAGCAGCGACTCAGTGACAAAGGGCTTTGATCTAGATCCTGGCCTATACCTCGCGCTAGGCTACATAGTAGTATGCATGAATGGCTGTCCCAAGCTGCGCCTACCCTTGGGCCTTCGAATCACCTGCCAACATCGCCCCTGTGCAGCATAGTTCTGCTTTCTAAGTTTCTGCAATTTCTGTCCGAAGTTTTGCCTTGCACTGTTGCAGCAATCAGCGCGCGATCAGCGCGCGCAGGTTAGTATCCCTCCGACGGCTGCGATGGGTTTGCTTCGACAGTATTCTGGCCATCGGACGGTTGTTGTAAACATTCCCGCTCGAGTGCGCCTTTTTCGCTTGAAATGGAAGCCGCTCTCGTTTGATCTTGTGGAAGACTGCTCTTCCTGAATCCGATTCCTGACGTCAGATTTCAATGGTGCAAAATCCAAATTCCAAGAGGAATTTGCAAGAACAACTTCAACTTCAAGAAGCCTTCGAAATTCGAATTCAACGCGCATGTTGGGCTTGCAAATTAGGGAGGCTGTGCAAGCAGACGAAGGTGGTTCACAAGTGAGATTGGAGGTTTAATCTTGGAACTCGAAAAGTGCGGGATTTTTCAAGTGTTGGTCTCATCGTTCCTTCAGATCTCTGAAATGCTGCAACAGCAGAGGCAAATATGTGATAGTTTCTGACTTGTAAGAATTCATTAATAGGGTGCTGGCGTGGGTGGACCCCGCTTCCGGATCCAAATGGCGCCAAGACCAAAAGGAGGCTTTACTAGGCGCTGGCGGATTCTGCTTCTCATCGCCGTATGCGCAGGCTTGGCATTCATCAGGCCCGCCTTGAAAGGTGGCCCTAAGGTTGATGAAACGTGAGTCGGACAAAGACCTCTCTGCTTATTCGGGAGTGTTCTTTAGCGCAGATCTATGTATGTGTTTGTGCTGACCATCTGCTTGCTGATGCTGTGTGATAGTCTGGAACAATCCATGCATGTGAAGTGAAAATGCCCCGTTGTGCTGGGGGGTCTGAAAAAATATGATGACATCCTGAGCAGAATCCAGAAACCCACTGCTAGAACCAGTTGGTACTCATGCTGGTGGTCGAAAGAAGCAGTGGTACTTGTGTTCTGCTAGTCCACTGCACCACATGAATCTTACAGCTCCTTTCCTGTTCCTAACTAACGATTGCCTTCGTCTTTTGCAACGTGCGCGCTTTGCCGGGCTTCTTCTCATGTGAGTTCCAAAAGAAGCCCATGTGCCTCCATGAATCCCTTCATATGTTCTGCTTATGATCAGTGCAGTGCAATGCCATCCTGTCACCTTGATCATAGTGTCTTTTGCTGCTGAACACAAGCAGCTCTGCAGATGCTCTCTCTGCCCTGTCTTCAAATGCACGGGGCGGGTGCAAAGGCCTCCAGTTCTTTCGGCGCGTATCCAAACCAAACCGATCGACAATCTGCATCAGATGTCGAATCCATTTCTGTGACCTCTTTCAGAGCTCTTCACATTATTGTCTTCACTTATTAGCTAGATGCTTAGGTGTCGAGACGCCTTGGTCTCTGTCGCTGAAATGCAATATTCGTGCCCATATTGAAGATGCTAATGCCATGCCTCCCTCCTGCCTTTTCAGGAACCTTCTTCTCTCCTCCAGCTTTTCGCTCAAGCACGGCAGGGACGGTTTCAAAGTCGGGGGCGGTAAGGGCAAAGGCCAGTCGTCGCAAATAACCATAAAGAATGACGCGCGGGTGCAATGGGATGAGACTTTGGAAGCGCAGGAGAATGCGCAAGGGGAAGGCCGGAGCGACCTGGAAACGGGTGCCGACGGTTCAGGGGGGGGTGCTGAGACTGGAGAAGCAGCTGTGACAAAAACCCCCCCGGAAGGAGAGGCTGGTGGGTGGGACTGGGAAACGATGCCGGTGCCGGAGGTGAGCGCGCGGAGCATGCGCATCAATTGTGGGATGGGCCTGTAAAGGCTGCGGGTCGCTTCTTCTTTCGGGTGCTTGTCACATCCATCTACATCAAAGGCTGTACAAAGGATCTTATCACTGGATGGACCGGATATTTCATCTCGTTGGTCTTCCATTTCAAACATTGAAGGCTTGAAACTTTTGAGTGGCCAGGGGAATCCATGCCGCTTCTCAGTAGCAGTTTGCTGTGTTGGATGGAAGAATCCTTGGGAAGCTTGATGTTCCATTCCGATTCGCCAGGTGCTTCACAGCTCTTTGTAGATTATGTGGTTCCACCTGTCTTGGAGTAGACTTTGCACAATCCAATATGGTTGAACTTGAAACGAAGTTTCTGACACGTGCATTCTCCGTGCAGGACTTCCATAACCCTGACACTGATCTGGTGAGTCCCACATGTTCAGATGCTATGGTCAACTTGAACAATATTCTCAATCTACACGTAATAATTCAGCCTTACTGTCTCGCTGGTTTTCAAAGGATTGAAACTAGTTGCTCAGTTGTTCTCACTTTCTGCAAATCTCAGGAGACTCAAGAATGCAAGCTGCCAGTCTACCAGGCTGAGTACTCTGGTTGGAGATAGGCCGTTACAACAGGCTGTTTGTTGCTCAGTAGGACATCGAAAACGCTCACGCTTTTGCAGCCCACGAACCCGCCAGAGGACCTGTGGGACGATCCGCCAGACGAGGGCTGGCGGCCCTGCATCAAGCGGCCCAAGAACTATCCCCGTGAGTGATGTGCTCCCAATCCAAACGCCTTGATATCACTGCCACATGTGCTCTTGCGTCATGAAGAGATCTGGCAGGGTCCTACCTTGAAAAGTTAGCGTTGGTGCGCTGAAGCGCGTCAGCTTGAACAGATGGGTGTCAATCTCGAACAGAGTAAGCACAAGTTTGGATAGAGGACACCTTTCCTGGTTGCAATATCATGCCGATCTAGAAAGCCGCACAACGGATGCAGGGCCGGGTTGAGCTTTATGGGCTCCTGTAGCCGCAGGCATGCTTTGTCCTAGTAGTGTTCACTTTGCATTAAGTTGCGGCGACGTTGTATCAAGTCCTGCTTGGGGTTGAGTAAGGTTGCATAGGGGGTGTAGGGTGGGCTCGGGAGCTCAGCGTGCTGTTGTTAAACCCTGGTTTTAGTTTGTTCGAGCCCGGGAACTGATCTAACTAAACGTAGAAGTCGACGCACAACCGAACTCATCCGTCTTACTCTGCAGCTGCAACCCCGCTCAACGAAACCAACGGGTACATCATGGTCAATCTGGATGGGGGCCTCAGCCAGCAGATGTTCGAGGTAAAAAGTTGAAGTCTCTCATAGGAAAGTGCCTTTTGGGGTTTCCGTTCGCCAGTTACAGCAACATCGGACCCTAGTATCGACCTTTTGCAATTCCTCGCAAAAGCTGGACGAAGGTATCGTACATCCAGGTTTCTGCAACAGGAAACGCGTCGATGGAGCTGACGGTCTTTTGCGCCGTCTGGGAGTTTCCTGGGACTGTTTGCAAGCAATTCTCTGGTACGATTGCTTGCATGATCGAACTTCCGAGCCACCTTTTACTGGCTGTTTCTTGCTGCAGTCTTAGGATCTCTAGGAAAACAACTTACAGCCGCAACTTCGTTTTCTGACTAATCATTCAGTGGAGGGCGTCGCTGTATAGCAGCTTTGCAAGCTTCATTCTACAGACACATGGATTGTAGCGAGGTTGATTAGCTGCCGAATGTTTGTAGATCTGCACATCATCGTTCGCGAACTTGTCTTCAACTCATCAAACATCAGTGCGAACATAAAGTCAAACATCAGGCTGAGTAGCAAAGCGTTGGTCGTACTGCTATGAGGCTAGAACACGGTTGGTCGTTCCTGAGTCATTGTGTCTTCAATAGGGTCTGTAACGAAAAATATTGTCAAAGTATTCACCTCATCTCGTCCCCCTGCAGATCTGCGACGCAGTGACTCTGGCCCGCATTGTGAACGCGACGCTGGTGGTTCCTAAGCTAGAGTACGACGCGTTCTGGAAAGACGCCAGGTGAAGAGCCTTCTCAGCACTTTCAGCCGCAGAAACTAGCGGTCGCAAGATCGTGGCCGTAGAACATGTCTCCCATGACGTGGCGGTTGAGATGTTCCACCTCCACGAAGTGTTTCATTTATCAGTGTGCGTAGGAAGACAAGGGAACCGGAGTCTGAGATCTCATCCTTGCAAATCGCGAAGCTTTGGAAGACGAGATGATACCTTTCTTTGAAACCTGATGCTGTCTTCTCACAAAGAGTCGTTGGCTTTTATATATACATGAAGTAGATAAGCAATAGGTGGATTTGGAAACCGAAGGAGTAACACACTTGTTAGAATCTCCAGTAACTGCAAGAAAAGAAATGAGACACGTGACGAACCGTTTCCATCCTTGTATCTTCCCGCAGCAATTTGGTATCGCAGATCTTTGAACAGAACTCAAGATACGTAAGGCTTCTGAGCAAGGAAAAGAAGGCACCGACGAAGAATCCAAGGCTCCTTGTCTTATCGTTCTCTCCCACTTTGCAGTGGCTTCTCCGAGATCTTCGACCTGGACTTCTTCCGCTACCGGCTGCGCAAGGAGATCAACATTGTGCGCGTGGACGAAATGCCAAAAGAGCTGCAAAGCGAGGACATGTGGCACATGGGCAACCGGCAGTACCTGGGGCAACCCGAGGTGGGGTTAAGGATTCCGTGGTTATGGTGGTTAGGAATGTTAAGGGCTTCCGCCTATACTTTCACAAGCCGCTCAATTTTTGTTGGCCAAGGGGGAAAGAGGGGGGTGTGAGAAGAACGTTTCAAAATGTTGCGCAGGACGATCACCCGGGAAAACCTACCCACTTTGAAAGAGCACCGCTTCGCGTGCTGACGCCTCGGCTTCTAAACCTGTTGTCACATATAGGCCCAAAACAATCAAACAGCGACCGAGACTGGGGGGAATCTGAAGCTTAACTCATCCGTGTTGGAGTCCCTCCGAGGTTTTCCAACTTTAAGTATCCCAGGACTATTACCGGGACGAACAAGCCGCCCTGAAAGAGCACCGCGTTGCATGTTCCGGCTTGGCTTCTAAATCCGCTCGCGATTTCATGGTGGAGACTTCGTAGATCTGCTCATCTGGGCAGATGGTTGGGAACATCTGGAAGCTGATTCTCTTTCAGGATTACTACCAAGAAAAAGCACCGGCCCTGAATGAACACGATGATGTTATCTCCACCTCGGCTTCTCCGTTTGCGACCTATTGTTACAAGTACACAAACAGCGATTAGGGTTGGAAGAAGTGAGGAAGAAGCTCACCCCGTCAATGTTCCAGCCTTTGTCACGATTGCCGTTCTTTCCTCAGGATTACTACCGGGAAGAACTACCCGCCCTGAGAGAGCACCGCGTTGCGTGGTTCCGGCTCGGCTTTTACAACCCGCTCGCAATCTGTCCAGAAAATGTGAAAAGGCGAGGGAGTGGGGAAAAAGAAGGTAACAAATAAACCTCTGCATACCTCTAAAGAAACGAATCTGAATGTGATTTTTTTCTCAGGACTACTACCGAGAAGAACTTCCCGCCCTGAGAGAGCACCGCGTCGCGTGGTTCCGTCTCGGCTTCTACAACCCGCTCGCGATCTACCTGCCCTTGCAATACGAGAAGCTGCGGTGCCGCGCCAAGTACGATGCATTGCGCTTCTCGGAGCGGGTCGTCGGGTTCGGCCAGAAGCTGGTGGAAAAGATGCGGGGGATGGGGGGTGGGCGTTTCGTTGGGATGCACCTGCGGTTTGAAGAGGTAACTCCTTTGCATTTCACTTCTTGGTTTTGATTGTTTCTATGTTGTCGGATGATGAGACTAATATGTATCGGCTACGACGACAAGAAGCGGGTCGAAAAGATTCGAGCGATGGGGGGCGGCCGTTTCGTGGGGATGCACCTGCGGTTGGAAGAGGTGAGGATTTCTGGTCAAATGTTCCGGGCAGGATGTTATAAGCACTTGAAACGCGTGTGTTACAATTTCTGAAGCCCCCAAAACGCGCAGGATAGGTTGGCCCACCCTAGTTGCGACTTTGGCGAAGCGGAGGCCGCGTAAACGCCCAGGCGCGCACATAATGCAACCGGTTCAGTATGAATACCTGGTTATTTCAAGATTCCCAAAGAACTCGAAATTGGCACGTGCAGGACATGCTGGCCCCCTCTAGTTGCGACTTTGGCGATGTGGCGAAATTGAGGCCGCATGCTCCGCCCAGATGCATACGGAGCACATTGGGAATCTATTTACGCCCCAGATCTGAACGAATTGCACATTCCAAACTTGCAGGACATGCTGGCCCACTCTAGTTGTGACTTTGGCGGCGGCGAGGCCGAAGCCGCATACTTCGCCCAGATGCGCACGGAGCGCTTTTCGCTCGTCGATCACTCATTTCCCTCAAAAACTGAAGGATTTTTACACACCAAATCTGCAGGACATGCTGGCCCACTCTAGTTGCGATTTTGGCGGCGGCGAGGCCGAAGCCGCATACTTCGCCCAGATGCGCACGGAGCGCAAGTGGCCCGAGGCGGACCGTACGGCTGAGCAGCTGCGGAAGGACGGGCAGTGCCCGTCGGAGCCGCGAGAAGTCGCCAAGTGGTTACGAGGTTTGGGGTGAGTCTCTGTTCCTAGTTCGCTTCTCCGTCCTCATAGGGTGTTCTCGTTGCTTCTTTCGGCTTGTTTCTGAACCCTCTGGAATGGACGGGCAGTATCCGTCGGAGTCGCGAGACGCTGTCGCAGAAACCCGTGCAGCCAGAGATGTGTTCACGTTGACGCTCCGAGTGTTGGACAAAGCTGAGTTGCTTGCAAGGACTGGGGTGATGTCTCGGTGACTCCTTCTTTCTCAGTGAGAACGTAAGTCGAGCTTTTGAGCTTACACTTGGCATGGTCTCTGCATAAGATTTGGTCTCGACACGCCTCTCCACCTGGCCTCGGGAAAGTGTACTGGGCAAGGTTACACATGGCGAATTCGAAGACGGCTGAGTAACGCTTGAATAGTCATCACCAAAATTCTGACCATCTGATGTCGCATCTAGAGCTGACACCTGGCAAACACTTTCCCCAGGTTCTGCTTCGGCACGCTTCTCTACCTGGCCTCGGGGGGTAGATGTACCGGGCAGAGTACCCCACTATATTTCAAGGCAATCTTCATCAACATGGATGCAAACTGTTGAAGCTAATCACGATTTGCCCGCCACAATCAAAGCTGAGACGTGGCACCTTTTCTTCCAGGTTCGGCCCCGACACGCCCCTCTACCTGGCCTCGGGAAAGATCTACCGGGCGGAGTACCACATGGCGAACTTCAAAGCGATGTTCCCTCAGTTGCAAACCAAGCGCAGCCTGCTCTCCCCGGCGGAGCTCGCCGAGTTGAAGGGCAAGTCCAACTTCATGGCAGCGGTCGATTTGTACGTGCTGACGCATGCTGACGTGGCGGCGCTGACGTTCCATGGACAGGTAAGCGCTTTATTTTGAGTGGAGGCTGACTTTGGGAATCCTCTCCATAGTTATCTCATGAGAGCTCGTTGGTTGTAGGGAAAAAAAGATGCGAAAACTTCTCTAAAAAGTCACTCTGTGTGCTGGGACACTGCTATCTTCTGCCGACGTTGCAGGTAAAGTCCGCCAGATTTTCTTTTGGCTGTCGACGAGTCATGAAAGTCATTATTCGACGAAAGCCGATGGACGCGATCGGTTGTCGACGAATAGTCTGCATTGGAGGAGATTTTGGACAAGCTTGTGCCAATGGTCGAAAAGTTGCTGGTCAGGATTGCAACCTACTGATGTCTGCAAGATTCTCTTTGTCCATCAGTAAAGCCCATTGGAAGCGGATAAAAGGCTTGAGGTGCTTCAATTCCTCTAAGCACTCATTATTGTCGGCTTCTGAAGATTCGCTTGGCAATGATATCGGAAAGCAGTGCCCACGACCCAATCCGCGCTCAGTAATTATCACGCTTCCAGATTTGTACTTTACAACAGCGTTCAAGGATGCTTGCTTCTCTGCAGATGCGGTGGCAGATTGCTGGGGAGCGCACGTGGAAGGGCTTCAAGAAGACACAAATGCTGCCCAATTGGCTCATGCCCTGTATAGAAGACAAGTCCTGGGACGAGTTTCAAGCGGAGGTCCGGAAATGGGAGATGTCCGGCGGACCCCGCAACCGAAGCGGAGAAGCGTACCCAGTCGCAATATACGGCAACCCAATCCCGGACTGCATGTGCCAAAAGCCCGGCGGCCCGCCGTTGATCAACGCCGTCAAAATCACAGAAGCGTCAGGACTGTAGTGCGTAGCTAGACTCAGACGGGTTTATTATGGTTTGTGTCCAGGTCAAGCAGTTGCGATGTTTCGGCAGTAGACGCAGTAGATGACGGTCGCAAGCGGTGTGTTGAAAACTGAAGCTAGCACAGGTTGCCAGGTAACTGAAGAATATGCACGTAAACTTATTGAGGAAGTAGTATTAGGCTGCCTCAACCATGTCCGCAATAAGTAGGTACGAGTATCTGGTTTGCTTGAGATTGCCGCGCTGCTGCATTGAGCGATGCTTACTCGAGTTTGGATCCTGTCGTGGCCTTCCATAGTTGACGAGCAATTGACCTGGCCGAACTTAGTGAGCCTTGACAACGGTGCGGATCGTGCGGATGGTAGTAGGTGGTTGGCTGGTCCGCCACACGCTCTAGGCTCACAATGCATTGCCATACCTCGTGTCGGCTACGACCGAATCGTTGCCAGGTGGTAGCGAGCCTCGGAGCTCACTGAGCAATCGATCAGCACCCTAATCCCATTGTACCGTACCAATCTTGCATTGTATGCCGCGCAAGTTAGATATAGATCCATAAGCGCGGTCCATGCAATAAGAGTCACAGGCCATGCAGCCAGCCAGCCAGTGACTCTCGAGTTACGACCTATGCGGCTCCACATCAGATGCATGTGAGTGACTGTCGCGATCTGCCATATCGGACGTTGAGCATATCTCTTTTAATTGGGGTCTTTTCAAACGTGGTAAGATGGTGGACTACAACGCGCGGCCGGTGCTTGTCGCGACTCGGGAGGTTTTTTTGCAAATGCTGCGGATATCTGCTTCATGCATGCACTGCAATGCCGGTCGTAGGCTACGGTATCTAGAAGACAAAGGCAAATCCTGGGACGAATTTGAAGCCAAACTTGAAAGACCGGAAGAAGGAGATGGCCGGCCAGCGCCACGCCGCGCAAGCGAACACTGAAATAAGTGATCAAACTGAGATTGAAGTGTATTTTGACCACCTGAGTCGCTATACCTGGCGACTCGAATCTGGACGCATGTGCTAAACTCCGGGGGGCCACCCCGCTGTTCACCAACCGTCGCCCTGCCTCTCTACTTTCCACACTTTAAGTAACCGCTCCTTACACAGCAGGCACACCCACTCTACTCCCGTCTGCCGGGTGCAGCAGAGGCTCTCCGACAGGGACGGTTCGAACTTCCCCGTGACGTCAGGGTTGGCACAATGATGTCAGTGGACCTACCAGTCAGCAAACTCTTTTGGGGCAGTGCCGTGCGTGCCCGCACGAGCGTGACGGCAATCTGGAGGCCACCGCGGTACCTTAAGGTCACAATCAGTCAGCGCCTCCCGCAGAGCTCTTCCCCCAAACTCTAGCAGGGTGAGTCCATTCAAATTACTTTCGTGTCTGAATGGTGGTTGGTGGCAGCACATCTTAAGGAACATAATGTTATCCCAAGGCAGTTTTAAGCACGCTGGGTTCTCTCGATTTGGTTATATTCGTTCTGAGATTGCTTGTTCTTGCTCGAAGGGCTTTGAAGTTTAATTGCCTCCTAAAGACCTTGCAGTCGGCCTCTTAACCGTCCTATACTTGTCGACCGGCAAAACGCAATCAATGATTGCGAGCTTTCAATCCTCAGTATCCCAGTGCGCGGGCTACGATGACAAGACCCGCCAGATTGACCTGCAGATCGTCGATGAAGCGCGGGCGCTCGTCGTGGAGCGCGGCATCCCTTCAGCCGACGTCCCAGTTACGCGGCGGCTCATCTTGCCGGACGATGAGTAGGACGCTCCCTCGGGGCCCTATGTTATTATCCGCACGAGAAAATGCGCAGCAGTGCCGCGTACCGGAGCGAAGCGAAATAGTATGGGAAATGGCATCAGTCGCCGACCGATTACAGCTTACCACGTCAACTGACAAAAGTGAATGCAGCAGATTCCATAACACGAGGAGACCGGCCCTTTAAGTGGGCGCCACGTCAGCATGTTCAAACAAGTCTCGTCTTCTACCCGCAACCTTGGAGGATTCGAACCACGAGACCCGAGTTTTTCCCACCTCTACTTGCAGGAAAGCAGCACTTTTCCGCACACGACACGGCGTTCGGAAAATGTCGGACTCCCGGGGCGGCAACTCGGGGCAGGAGAAGTCCATGTTTTATTTCATGAAACATC